TAAAAGAAAAACCTTTCTGTTTGGTTTTGAGCAATGGATTTCTGAAATTGGAGCTGTTTACACTAGTTTTGTTTTTTTTTGAGGCAGGGTCTTGCTACATATCATAGGCTAGCCTCAAACTCGTGGCCATCCTCCTGCCCTTAGTCCCCCGAGTGCTGAGATTACAGACATTTGCCACCACACCAGACTGTAGTCTGTCTGTCTGTCTGTCTTTATTTCTTTCTTTCTTTCTTTTATTTTTGAGATAGAGTCTCACTATGTAGTTCAGGCTAGCCTCAAACTCACTCAGTACTCAAGGCTGTCCTTGAGCTTGGGGTGATCCTCCTGCCTCAGCCTACTGAGTACTAGGATTAGTAGTTTTTAAAGAATACTTGCTATCTCTAAGTCTAGATTTGTTTTTGATAAAACCAAGTACAAGGGGCAGATAAAGCAATATATGCCAGTAATCATAGCTGCTTGGGAAGCTGAGGCAGGAGAATAGCAAATCTGAGGCCAGCCTGAGCAATTTAGCGAGACCCTGTCTCAAAAAAAAAAAAAGGGCTGGGGATTTAGCTCAGTGGCTCTGCTGCCTACCTCACAAGCGCAATGTCCTGAGTTCAATCCCTGGTACCAAAAAGAAACATAAATAAATAAATAAAGGGTTGGTATGTAGTTCAGTGGTAAAATGTTTCTGGGTTCAATATCCAGTACCATAAAATAAAAAAAAAGAAATTTTAAAAATTAAAAATTAAACCACACAAGAAGCGCAAGGTACTGATTCCCTTTTTTCATTATGGGATATAGTCTCCCAAGGAACCCTAAAGTCTGATGGTATAATTCACACTTTTTACAGATGATGTTTATGAGGTCCAAAGATGTTAGTATCTTTCCAAAGTTTACACTGCCAGAAAAAGAAAAGAGCTAGATTTTTCTTCCCCTAGGACTAGAGGTTGAAAATAAGGCTTTGAGCGTTCTAGGCACTTCTACATGTGTGAGTTACTTCTTTAGTCCTTTTTATTTTATTTTTTGAGACAAAGTCTTACTGAGTTGCCCAGCATGGCCTTGAATTTACAATTCTCCTGCCTCAGCCTCCTATGTAGCTGGGATTATAGGTGTTATTATAGGATTATACCTGCCCACAAGTACAGTGGATTTTTGTTTTAAGGTTAAATCTTCAGATTCCAGACTCATGCTAGTTTTTCCTCAAAAAATGTTCTCATAAAAAAACCACTGGAAGGGGCGGGGATTTAGCTCAGTGGTGCTGCTTCCTGCCTCGCAAGCGCAAGTTTCCGAGTTTGATCCTTGGAACCAAAAATAAATAAATAAATAACCCACTGGAGAATATAATTAAAGTTAGAAAATCAGCTAAGAGCAGGAAAAAAAGTCCAATTAAAACAACAACAACAACACAAAAATAGACCATGGGAAACCTTACCAGTAAATACAGAGAAGATATTCTGTCTCAGTGGTAATTTTTCTTTCTTGCTCTTGATCTTAGCCAGAAGGCAGAGAAATGATCAGTAGTTAATTGTGTTCTGTTTAGATTGCAAAAGATGTAAAAGACTGATAATGAGTGAAATGGGTAATCTACTAACTTTGACTAAAGTCTCAAGTTGGCTCAATCGTGGACAGTTTGTATCTGTGCTGCCAAAGCGAGCACTCGATCATAGACAATTTGAAAATACCTTTTGTCTTAAAAATATTTCTCTTACAGAAATTACATATTTAATTAAGCCAGTGTCCAAACATTGTTTATAAATAGCAAAAAAGCAAAAGTAATCTGAGTAACCCATCTATAACAGTAAGAAATAGTACTTGTTAATATTTATTCAGTGTTTACACTGAGTGCTACTGTTCTGTGGAGTTTATATGTGTTTTTTGTTTTGATACCAGCATTCATATTCAGAACCTTGCACTTGCCAGGCAAGTGCTAGGCCACTGCGCTACACCCCTGGTCCTGTTTATTAAATTAATTAATTTTTAAAATTATTTTTGCAGTACTGAGAATTGAACACAGGGCCTTCACACCAAACTACATCCTAGCCTTTTTTATTTTGAGACAGGGTATAAGTTGCTTATTTATTTATTTTTTGGTATCAGGATTTGAACTCAGGACTTGTGAGGCAGGCGTGGCACCACTGAGCTAAATCCTTGGCCCAGTTGCTTTTTAAAAAATTTTTTAAATTTATTTATGTATTTTTTTGTGTGTGTGGCTTTGGGAATCAAACACTACAGCCTTGTGTGTATTAAACACACTCTATCACTGATCCCAGTCCAATACACTACATGTTTTATCTTGTAAAACTTTTATAAAAATTCTGTGACATGGGGCCAGGTAACTAATTTTAGAGGCAAAGAAAGTAAAGCCATAGCTGGGCGTGGTGGTGCCAACACTGTAATCCCAACACTTGGGAGGCAAGGCAGGAGTATCACTGTGAATTCGAGACCAGCCTGGGCTACATAGTGAGTTCCAGGTCAGTCTCAGCTACATAGTGAGACTATGTCTCACCCCTCCCCCCAAAAAAAAGTACGGCCCAGAAAAAAATGATTAAATATATTATGATACATCAGAGCTATAGAATACAAAGATAGCTATTAAAAAGTATAAACAGTTCAGCTGGGCTTAGTGGTGCATGCCTATAATCTCAGCACTTGGGAGGCTGAGGCAGAAGGATCCTGTGAGTTTGAGACCAGCCTGGGCCACATAGTGAGTTCCAGGTCAGTCTCAACTACATAGTGAGATCCTGTCTCAAAACAAACAAGAAAGGTGCTTATGACACTGGGTGGGAAAAACAGGTTATAACACAGTCTCATTTATGTAAAATTACGTAATTGTGTAGATAAATGTGTAATCCAGAATATTAATAGTGGTTGCCAGCTAGGAGAATATTGTTAAATTGATTGTTTATGCTTTTTTATATTATTTGAGGTTATACTGAATAACTTTTTCATGACAGAAAATTACCAAAGCTAAATTTTCTTCCCTACCCTTACCCCAAACCCTATTTAAAAAACAGGAAGTTGGGCCAGGGAGTTGGCTCAGTGCTTCCTCCACCTGCCTTGCAATAAAGGGCACAAGTTCGAACCCTGGTACCAAAAAACAAAAACAGGAAGCCACTGACCTGGCAAGACTTCACAACTAATCAGGTTTCACTTTACTTTTTTTGCCACTGGCTTTTCTTACAAATAACTTTTACAAATAGTGAAAGAAACCGGCACCTGCCAAAGATCACTCCACACACCGACAGAGCTCCTAAGAGAGATTTATTATAGAGGGCTGCAGCACAGTGGCCTACTCTGCAAAGGAGGAAGAAGAAAGAGATCTGAGTGGCAGGGGCTTGGTTATATAGCGGGCGGCTGGTGTAAGGGGTCGGGGTGAATTGCATCAGCTGTGGGGGCAGCCAGTCGGGTCTTTGTGATCCATTCCTTATATGAACAAGCCTTGCACGCACGTTGGTTTTGCTTAGGATGATGATGCGTGATGTAGGAAATGGAAATTTAAGGTATGAAATGGCGGTCATTAACCAAAATGGTGACAGCCGTATCAAGGCAGTTATCTTATAAGTAGTGTATAAATTTCCATATGATTTTTATCAAAAAATAATTTTTGAGGGACTGGGGATTTAGCTCTGGTGCCGCCGCACCTGCCTCACAAGCGCAAGGGCCTGTTACCAAAAAGAAAAAAACTTTTTTATTAAGTTATCTAGTTAAGATTTTACAAGTAGCAAATAAGAAATATTGTACACTTTTACCTCAGAGAGAGAGAGATTCCAGAGCCCCAGCAAATAACCAAAATCTGAGGATGCTTACTCCCCACTGAAAGGGAACAGCAGAGAGGTCTGACTGGAGATTTTATTCAGGGGAGCGGAGCAGAGAGAGAGAACAGAGAGAAATGAAGAAGTGCTGGCCTATTTATGGGGCTTGGAGCCAAAGACCCTCCCATTTGGGTGGGGTAGGCCGTCCTTAACCTATCAAAAGCCATGTTGCCTTTTTTTTTTTGAGACAGGGTCTCAGTATGTGGTTGAGACTGACCTGCAACTCACTATGTAGCCCAGGCTGGTCTCGAACTCACAGTGATCCTCCTGCCTCAGTCTCCCGAGTACTGGGATTACAGGTGTGCGCCACCACGCCCAGCCATGTTGCCTTTTTTTTTTTGAGACAGGGTCTCAGTATGTGGTTGAGACTGACCTGCAACTCACTATGTAGCCCAGGCTGGTCTCGAACTCACAGTGATCCTCCTGCCTCAGTCTCCCGAGTACTGGGATTACAGGTGTGCGCCACCACACCCAGCCATGTTGCCTTTTAAAGTTCACACCTTGTAGAAGCTCTAAGTTTCAATTCTATATACTGACGTGATTTTGGAGAAAAGGAAATTTAAGACAAGGGTTTAAGTGTAGAAGAACCTGGAAATCCAGCCCAAAATGGTGGTGTCGCAAAATACTTTAACATGATCAATTCCCTAACACCCACCCCATACTGGAGGTTGAACCCAGTGCCTTTGCACTGAGCTACATCCCCCAGTCTTTTATATACTTTTGAGACAGAATCTTGTTAAATTGCCTAACCTGGGCTCAAACTTTTGATCCTTCTGCCTCAGCCTTCCAGAGTGCTGGGATTACTGATATGTGCCACCATGCTCTGCTCTCAGGCCTCATGTATGAAGTAGGGTTGTATTTGCATAAAAATGCATGTCCGCTTCCATATACTTCAGTCATCCCTGACTCAACACAATGCAAATGTTATATACATAATTGTTGTATGTATTGTTTAAGGGAACAATGAAGAGAAAAATAAATGTATACATGTTGAATTACAGATGCAGTTTTCTAGATATTCTCTATCCATAGCATAGATATGGAATCTATGTGTACAGAGGACCAGCTGTACCTGGCATAGTCCATTTCCTGTAATAAATCCTCAATAAATATTGATCTGAGTAAATTCTGGTGATTGAGAGTGAAAGAAATTGAAAAACTTACATTGTAAATATTTAATTTGATTTTTTTTTCACTCTTCCACAGATAATAAAATCACAGGCTCATTACTGCCCTTTCTCGATGAGTCTCTCCTTGAAAACCTTGGAGTAAGGTAAGAATGACAAAATTCAAATTGCAACCACACATTCTATTTACCTTTGAGAGGAACAAAGTCAAAATTCTGTGATATTAACTATCAGCGTTTTAAATTTATGAAATGTTTTAAAACAAAGTCCCCTTCATGCTTTTTGTTTTTGCTGTGCAAATCCTGTGTTTAATATTACTTGTGATACCTATTTTATTTTATTTAAAAATTTGTTTTGCATGTGTGACTTTTTTATTTTCATCAAGCCCAAGTGAGCCTGAGTGGCTGCCTCCTACTGGTCCCCTGACTATCCCCAGCTTCCCCATGATCACAGCAAGAAGAAAATTTGCTCTCCCTTCATAGCGTGGAGAGGGAGCCCCTAAGATTTGGTGGCTGACTTGTAATGGGTCAGAGTGTGAGCCAAAGGGTTGGTGGCATTGACCCACTTGGGAATCCAGTAGTGGGTCAGCCAGCGCCTGGCCTGGGTAGTGGCTTTCAAAGCTTTGGCAGTGGAAATAGGCTTCTTTAGTTTTTGGAATATTGAAGGGAAAAATCTGGGCTACAGCTGCCATCATTGTATCATCCACTTGATGTTCAACCAGTCCCTGTAAAATCTTAAACCAGGAGTTCTACACTGAGGTTGTTCCATCGCTAAAGGCCTCTTTTGGTCACCAGAGAATTTCTTTAGGTAGCAGACTGGCGTCTTCAAATGCCTCTCTCTCAAGACCTGTTTTTTTATCCTGTGTTTTGGAATTCTCATTTCTGGAGGTGGAGACGAGTAATAGGAAAACAATCAATGATCCAGAAATGGAACTCCCAGTTCAAGGCCGTGGGCAGCAGTAGTTTGGTGTGCACGGAGAATATCAAACAAATACAGTTCCTTCAGAAGCCTCTGGCTTTCTTCTTTGGCCTTTTCTGGAGAAGGAACCTTGTAGAAATATATGTAGCCCTGCATCAATTCATCTGATCCTTCTCCAGGGAAGATCACCACTCTATGTTCTTCTGAATATACCTGAAAACCAAATACCTACCTACTGATGTAATGTCATAGGTTTCCAAGGAAAATATGACCTCATCCAAGGCCTGAATGCCTTCCTCAGAGTTAAAAAGGGCTTCCTGATATTCACGTCCAATATGATTTACCACTTTTCAGCCAGTAAGTCAGGGCTATCTTCTATGCCAATTGCAAATGTCTGGAGACGGTATGTATTAGGGCCTCTTTTTTTTTTTTTTTTTTTTTTTTTTGGTATCAGCAATCAAACTTGGGTCCTTATATTTTCAAGTCAGGCAGCAGACCCACTGAGCTAAATCCCTGGTCCTGAGCCTCTTTTAATTGCTTCACCAAATGAGTGGCAGCAACCAAGCTGGAGTCCAAGCCCCCTGATAAAAGGCCAATCCTGCTGTCTTTCACCAAATGCTGCTGCTGCTTCTTTTTTTTTGAGACAGGGTGTCTCTTATGTAGTTGAGACTGATCTGGAACTCACTGTGTAGCCCAGGCTGGTCTCGGACTCACAGCGATCCTCTGCCTCAGCCTCCCAAATGTTGGGATTACAGGCGTGCGCCACCATACCCAGCTTCATCAAATGCTTCTTAATAGCATTATTGAAAAAGATACAAAGGTTGCCTTTCACAGTTTGTATCTCAGAAGCATTTCCCCAGTCATAGAGGGCATGCGCAGGTTCATCAGTACAGTGATGATATTTAACCATTTCCACAGATACCACTGTGCCATTTGGCTTTAAATCTAAAACTTCGTAGGGTGCTAGAAGAAAAGACTCCACTTTTAAAAATGGAGTCATGGAATGCTTCTGTGTAACAAGACCATTAGCTTCTGAAAACACAGCCAGTAATCCATCTTCTGTCATGGCTTTAAACAAAGAGCTGACTCCTTCACTAACTGCCCCAAAAAACTTTGTGATTGTCAGTGTCCAGTAAAATAAACACAAATACCCCATCCAGCATACAAACTGTTTGCTCACTTCCTCCTCTGTCATACAGATGAAGAATTATCTCTCCAACCACATTGGTCTGGTGTTCAAATTCAAAATATTGTTGCATCTGGCTAGGAGATCTCTGTCCATCAGATCTGTTTGGGTGTCACTTCCTCAAAAGCTGTGCTCTGCCCACATTTTCTAAAAGCAGGTCCTTATATGCATCAGTACTGCAATTGTTCTTTCAGGAAGCTGCCCTGTGTTTGTAGACTTCACCATTGTAACAGAGTCACAAATAAGGCTGTTTCTTCCCTTGAATTGGCTGGATTCCAAACAAAGGATCAGCCACTGCCAGGTGGTGAAATCCAAAGCAGCTGTAGTCTAGCCATTGACATTCTCAAAATAGAATTCACCTGGACTCCTGTGCGCACTCTTCAGAGCACTCACACTGCCCCACAAGGTAGTCATTGCTGCCAGAGAAGGCCCAAATGCCACACATGGTGCACCAGAGCTACGGACTCTTAGGATTGTGGTTAGCTAGAGGAAGTAGCATCCAGGCCATACCGATTGTCTGCATTGTAGGTTTGCTCTCAAGATACAGATACAAGGGCAAGCACCTCCAAGCTAACCAAAGATCCCAGCCTCAACTCTTCACCCCGGGACCTCAAAATCTCTCAAAAGTTTGGGAAACTCCCCAGATTAGTTCTGTCTCCTAGACAATTAAGGGCCCTTTATTCACTTGTACTAACTATAAGTAGTATATAGAGGGTAGAATAGCAGATCACATATACCATTGAGGAGAATATTAAGACATACAGGTCTTATAAGCATTTCACAACTTCTAGCTTACCTTTAGGTGACTTGTTCAAATGTAACTGAAGAATGAAAAAGATAAGTCAATCACCTGATATCATATGTTCTAACCAAAAAGAACGAAAACAAAAACCTTTAAATTAATAGAAGACCCAAAAGGTGGACTATCAAAATATCCTGACAAAAATATTCTCAAATATTTCTATCTGCATTGGTCAGTAAGAAAGCAAACCAAGTCAGGTGTGGTGTTGCACACCTGTAATCTCAGCATTTAGGAGGCTAAGGCAGGAGGATTGCCATGAGTTTGAGGCCAGCCTGAACTACAAAGGGAGACCCTGTCTCAAAAAACCAATAAATAAATAAATAAATAAAAAAGAAAGAAAGAAAGCAAACTAAATGAGTTATAAAACATGGCTCAAACCAACAAAAACTTTAGTATAGTGCTGGGGATTTAGCACAGTGATACCGCACCTGCCTCGCAACCTCAAGGTCTTGAGTATGATCCCTGGTACCAAAACAAAACTAAATAAACAAAACCTTAGTGTACCCTTTTAGGCTAGGAAGCATATAATTCCTGTAAGTGTTAATTTAGTTTTCAATTTCAGGTTATCAACAGTGAAACAAAAGACTGTTGATTTATATATTATTTGAAAAATAGAACTACTTTTGAATTTTTTTTAAATACCAAAAAAAATGCAGACATAATTTGGGACAAAAACCCTAAAAAAGAAAATAAAGATTCAAGTTACATCAGTCACTTTGAACAATCCTTTGAGGACATGTCATTCATATCTCAATGATTTGTATCTGAATGAACTATGGCTTTGGTTGGCATTTTAGTTCGACCACAAGAAATCAATGAAAATGATATCAACCGAGGCAATTTGAAAATAAAGTGCCTTATGTCCTATGTAGTTCTTTCCACGTACTTAACTGAACAGCCTATAAGGAAAGATTTACTTTGAGATTTAGTGGAAAAATTTATTTAGATTGTTAGACTTGATACCAATTTAAAAGGTGCATAGGGCCCGAGGTTTAGCTCAGTGGTTCCGCCACCTGCCTTGAAAGGGCAAGGACCTGATTTTGAGCCCTAGTACCAAAAAAAAAAAAAAAGGTGCAGGAAAGTGCTTTGAAAATAAGTGGGCATCAATTACCTGAGTCTTCTCAGCACTGTATCGTGACACTGCCTGGTATTTATCCTTTTTCTGAGTTCACCGCCTGTCTCAGGAGAGGGGTCTCCTCCTCACAGGGTTCCCTGGAGAGGTCCTGCAGTCTGGGCACGAGCCAGTATGCCCCTGGCCCAGCAGAGGGTCCCAGGCTCGTCCCTCACTGCCACCATTATGATACCTATTTTAAAGAATTTTCCTGACAAGCTTTCACAAAGTTTGAAGTGACTAGACTTTTACTGTCAAATTCAAAATAACTGAACTATACATGCTAGTAAATATGTAGGAACCAATAGGAATAAAAATATTGGCAGGAAAACCAGGGCTCCATCCCAATTGTGAACATTTTTCTAAGACTTTCTAAAGCTGTCTTAAGACTGGAATATATCCATATATGTAAAATGTCGAAGCACATGATAAGCCCTTAATACATTATATACGTAACATAGATACCTACATATGGGGAAGGTCTAGAATCTAGATTAAAGTAGAACCACTTTGAAGTTTTCAGTTGAATATCCAGTGTTTATATATTCCTTAAAATGGAGATTTTGTTTCTGCTAGGGCATTGGCAACAGTAAGAGAGCATTATCTAAAATTCCACTTAGTTAAATGTTGTTTGTGGTAACTGTAACTAATGAATCAAAACAAAGGATTATATCAAATTACTTAATATGTTCACACTTAGAATTTGATAAGGCAAGTAGATTTTGAAAAAAGATTAAGGCAGGGCATTTAACTGACTCTCCATAAGTCTTTCGGATCAGAATCTTCCTCATCTTGGCTCTCATAACCACATTTCAGCCACACCAATCCTTTCAAAGTTCCCTTTGCTACCCATTTCTTGTGTATGGAAGCTATTTACAATTTGAACTAAAAGGAATTTGTTCTAAGTCTTTCTTTTCAAGGTAACTATACTTCTTTGTGGACCCAAATACTACTGACTCACGCAGGAAATATGTATGGAGGGAGGGCTCATGATGTTCTAGGCGCTTCTCCACGGTCTTGGGGCCTGTGAGTGAACAAGATAGACGGAATTGCAGAATTGACCACTGTCTGCCCCCCTACTCCTCCTGCCTAGGGATTCTACCCCAAAACAAATCACCTATATGTGAACTCTTGCCTTGGATTCTGCTTTTTATAGGAAATCCAAATCAGATGAGCACTTCTTGGAGTCTCTCAGTTTTATGATTAAGTGTTGATTTATGAAGGTTTTCCTGGAAAATAAACATTGTTACATTACACGTATCCATCAAGTTGTAAGAAGCTATAGATTTAAAAAATACAGAAATCTTATATTAAAGTATCCTAGCTCATGACTATAAATTTTCATTTAATATCATAATCTTTGCCAAAAAAACAAAAAACAAGCTGGGCATGGTGACGCATGCCTGTAATCCCAGCACTCTGGGAGACTGAGGGAGGGGGATTGAAAATTTGAGCCCAACCAACCCTCCAGCAATTTAGCAAGACCCTCCCCCAAAATAAAAAATGGTCTAGGGATGTAGCTCGGTGTGAAGGGCCTGAGTTTAATCCCCTGAATTGTACACAAGCTTTTGTTTTTGTTGTTTGGTACTGGGGATTGAACTCAGGTCATTGCACTTTCAAGGCAGGCGGCAGAACCACTGAGCTAAATCCCCAGCCCACAATCCCCAGTATTAAAAAAAAAAAAAAAAAAAAAAAAAAAAAAAAAAAAAAATCCACGAAGCAAAAACCCCCCCCACAAAACCCGAAAATAAAAAAAAAAAAAAAAAAAAAAAAAAAAAAAAAAGACAGAATGAAAATAGGTTTTTGGTGGTAATTTTAATCAGTAATATCCATGGGAATAGTCTCCTTTGGGGTTTTAATTAAATGATGAATACTGAGTATCAGTTCGGGGAACTATGGAGCAGTAGTGAGGTTAGTTTAGGTTTGCTATTCTGTGCTGTGACTTGTAGATAAACCCTACTGTTTGAGGGCCCGTCACCTGGCTCAGTTACAACCCACTGATAAGTAATTCTTGAATTCTGTCTTTCTGCTGGTCTTGTCATGTTAAAATGAAAAGAGGAAGGGGCCGGGGATTTAGTTCATGGTTCTGCTCTGGGCCTTGCAAGTGGAAATTCCCCAGTTCAATCCCCAGTACCAAAAATTAAAAAAAAAAAAAAATTTTTTTAAATGAAGAGAGGAGAGGAGCATAGTAAAACAAAAAGAATGCTGCTCTGATTATTTCTTTGTTTTGTTTTGTTTTCAAGACAGAGTCTCATACTACGTAGTTCACGCAGGCCTTGAACTCACTATGTAGCCCAAGCCCAGGCTGGCCTCAAACTTGCAGTGATCCTCCTGCCTTAGCCTCCTGATTACTGGGATTTCAGGAGTGTGCCACCATGCCTGGCTGCTTTAATTATTTATTAGCTGTAATAATGGCTCCATATATTCAACTCTTATATTTTGTTATTGCCATAGGTCTCTCAGGTTATATAACACAGAAGGCAAATGTACATTTGACTTTAAGTCTTTCTAGGACTTCTGGAAAAAAAAATCTTTCAATCTGATTAGGTCAGTAATGACAAATAGCTCTTGCCTGCTGCTTTTTGTTTTGGGGTTTTTTGTTTGTTTGTTTGTTTGTTTTTTGGTACTGGTGATCGAACTCAGGACCTTGTATTTGTAAGGCAGGTGGTGGAACCACTGAGCTAAATCCCTGGCCCTTGCCTGCTGGTTTTGTTGACACTCTGCCAGGTGTGAGGCAAATATGCTTGAACCAACGAGTAATTGTGAAATAAAGTAGTGTACTAAGTCAGAGCTATTCAAATTTAGTTCCTACTAAATGCTTTCTAAAGACTGGAGAATTTTGAGGGGTTGCAGACAGAGGAAGTTAGTTATAAATAAAGCTGAAACCTTCTCTATATTTGATTCATCCTTGAGGCATACCTGGTACTCATAAATCAACCCAGGATTGTAAGGGTAGATGTTGACTTCGATTTGGTTAAAATACATTTGAATATAAACTGAGCATTAATTGAGTTGAGGCGGAGGAGATGTAAAATCTGAGTTTGCCAAGAAAGAAGAGAATCAAGGACAAAACCCTGGGACGGGTGCATATGGCGTCAGCAAGAGCTTCTCTTAGGAACAAAGGAAGGAGGGAGTTTCTAGGAGGAGTATGTTTGAATAATTGATTGTTCCTTCGAATATAACCTCTCAATTAGTTTAGAGAACCCAGTGATGATAACGTACTTCTGTGTACTCCTAGGATTGTTATGAAGCAAATAATGATAAATTTGCTTATCTTGTAATTTTAGTTCCTTGGGGGAGAGGAAGAAGCTGCTTAATTATATCCAACGATTGAGTCAAACTCATACTGAGGCAATGAAGGTAAGAGAAATCCGAGTTTATCGTTTTTGTTTCTTTTAATAAAGTGATATAACTCAATCATGGTAAATTCATTTTAAAAAGAATGGGAGGAAATATCAGTGATGGGGTTATGGGTAAATGGATCTTTTCTAAGCTTTCTGTATTTTCTAAAGTGAGTAAGGATATTTAAATCAGAAGAAAAACTAAAATACGTTTAAGGCATAGTGAGATTATAAGTAGAATACTACTCAGCTTTCAAAACTTAACACTGCCTGATTTGCTTCAGATTACTTTTAGAATAAAATATACTATCGAAGACCTCTTATATGCTTCTCCTGTTTTTTTGTTTTGTTTTGGTACTAGACATCAAACTCAGTACCTGTGCTTGCCAGGTAGGTGCAGCGTCACTGAGTTAAATCCCTGGCCCCCCTCTCCTGTGTTTCTCTCTCACCAGTAATACCTTGAATTTGGTGTTTAATATTTTCATTAAGTTTTTGAAATTTTACTACATATACACACACACACACACATATATATATTTTTTTTTTTAAGAAAGAAATAAAGTACTTATTTATTTATTTTCTAGTATCAGGGACCAAACTTAGGACCTTGCACTTGCCAGGCAGGTGCAGCCCCACTAAGCCACATCCCTGCCCCTAAAGTAATTTTTTTTTTTTTTTTTTTTTTTTTTTGTACCAGGAATTGAACTGGAGACCTTGCACTCACAAAGCAGGCAGCAGAACCATTGAGCTAATCCGTGGCCCCCTAAAATAATTTTTTAATAAGAACCAACAGTAGAATATTTATTGCGATCCAGCAATAACATAAAATAACCAAACAATACGAACACTTGTTTAACAACTTAAACACGTTAACAGCTTTGCCATTGCTGACAATTTGCTTCATTGCTCTCTTAATTCATTGATCATTTCTAGTTGCAGACACTTTGCAGCAGAGTAGAACTATCTATCTCCTTTTGACATGATCCGGCCCAGTTGTTTTCTTGACTTTGTTTTAGAATGAATTTCTTCTGCATCTTCTAATACAAGGTTCATGTACTCATTAGAACCAGTAATACGGCCCTCCATCTGCATATTGACTTTCTCATGGAGCCACACCTAAATCCGGGTTCTGTTTTGCAAGTGTCTGAAGATGAGGTTAACGGGCTGCATCATCGCCTTGTGCACTTCCTGGCCCTGGTCGCAGTTGCTATGGTGGAATCTCACAAAGACCTTTCTTGGTTTTTTAAATAAGGTCTCACTGTGACATTCAAAATGGCCTTGAACTCACAGCGATCCTACTGCCTTAGCCTCTTGAGGGCAGGGATTACAGGTGTGCACCACCATGCCCAGCCAAAATTTTACCACAATTTATATCCATAAATGGTTTTAGTACTGATAATCTATCAATATTTGTTTATTCTTCCTCCTCCAGTCCTATTCAGACATTGAAAACCCTGTTTTGCCCCAAGTGTGGTGGCACACATCTGAAACCCCAGCTACTGCCAAGGCTGAGACAGAAGGACTGCAAGTTTGAGCAACTTCACAAGACCCTGTCTCAAAATTAGAAAAATAAGTAACAAAGGCTGGGATTACATACAGCTCAGCACTAGAACACTTGCCTAACATGTGTAAGGCCCTGGGTTTGAACTCCAGTGCCCCCACCCAAAAGAAAACCCTGTTTTTCAGACTTCAGTGTCCCAAGGAATCTTTAACAAACATTCAGCTATGCAAATCCTGTCCCAGAAATTCTCATTCTTTAAATTTATACAAAACTCCTGAAATGTGCATTTTTTTTACAAGCGCTGCAGAGTGCTTCTCACCATACTTAAAGAAACTGTTTCTTGCTTGATTGGTGACACTAAATATATCTTATTGTTCACCTTTTTTTTGACATCCCTGGATTAAATAAGCTTGGTTTAGACCTCAGAGGTGTAGGAATCTCATTTTCCTTTTCCTTGGTTTAGTTGTTCTGCTGATGGCACTGAAGTAATTTAGGGTACAGATTTCATTTCTAGACAGTGACTCACACTAACATACTTTGAAACTTCAAAATCTGCTTTAAACAACTATGGCTGGGCCAGGGATTTATCTCAGTGTTTCTGCTGCCTGCCTTGCAAGCACAAGGTCCCAAGTTCAATCCCAAACAAACAAACAAAAAATAAACAACTATGGCTATAAAAAGAATAGTTTTTATTCAATAATACTGAGAATAACAGGATTAATTAACACTATTCAAACTTTAGTATCCAAACACCTTAATATCATAATATACTGTATATAATATGAGTTGGGAACAGAATATAAAATAATGTAGCAATATTTCCAACAAGTCAATGCCCACCATGAGGGGAATGGTTTAAAAATGGTTATTGTCAGCTGGATGTGATGACACACTATAATCCCAGAACTCAGGAGGCTGAGGCAGGAGGATCACTGTGAGTTTGAGGCCAGTCTGAACTACATACATAGCAAGACCCTATCTCAAAAACAAGCAAAAAATGACTTTATCAATGAAATGGAGCCATTAAAATATGAGGATGTGTTCACTGTGCATTTTGGTAAGAAAAGGGAAAGAGATTGCATGCATATATTAACAAATCTAAAAATATATTCACTAAGTTTTTATAAAATGGCTTATTTATAAATTTATTTCATTTTTAACATTTAAGGTGAAAAAATATTTTAAGAACTGTCATAACCAGAAAAAATTGATAGTAAAAGCTTTTAGACATGATTGAAAATAGATTATAGAATTTTTATTTGAATTTCTGATAATAAAATAGATTCTCATTTGTTCATACTGGTTACACTGATCTTGTTTGTGGGGAAGGAATAGACCAATATGATTTTCAAATGGTTACAAATTATGGAACTTTTTAATCTGATAATATACTCAAAGAATTTAATTAGGACAGCCATGGTTCCTTCTATTTCTGAAATACTGAGATATTTCTGTATAGGTAGAGGGACCAGACTTGATGTAGTTTCTGATAATCATGAAGTAGTTTCACATAGGAGAGTGAATAAAATGAACACCTATTAAGCTTCAATATTTATTTCCAATCATTGTTAATATTCATAAATATTTCACAAGGTTGTAAGTTCTAGTGCTTGACTGAAGCTGTCAAATTGAGCTCTTGTTACAGGAAATGAATTCTTTATCACCAGCGTGTTCAAATGTTGGACCAGATGACACTTAAAGCTTCTTTTTTGAGCTACTGGGGATTGAACACACCAGGGCATTCACACTGAGCTACATCCCTAATCCTTTTTAAATTTTGAGACAAAATCTTGCTGAATTGTCCAGGCTGGGCTCAAACTGCAGTTCTCCTGATTTAGCCTGCTAGAGTTTTAAGATTATAGGTGTGCTTCCTTTAAACTTTTTTTTGGGGCGGGGGGTTGATTTGTTTTTTTTGAGACAGAGTTTCATTATATAACTCTGTAGTAGAGACTGATCTGGAACTAACTGTGTAGCCCAGTCTTGTCTTGAACTCACAGCAATCCTCCTGCCTCAGCCTTCCAATTGCTGGGGTTACAGGTGTACACCACCATGCACAGCTTCCTCTAAACTTCTTTACATTATTGAGCTTTTTTTTTTTTTTTGGGTACCAGGGACCAAACTCAGGACCTTGAGCTTACGAGGCAGGCCTGGTGCCACTGACCTAAATTCCCAACATTTTTGTTGGGAATTTTTTTGAGCTACTGGGGATCCCAACATTATTGAGCTTTTGTATTTCATGCTTTCTCTGTTTCCATGTATTGACAGTACACTTTAAATATTATAAATAATCCAGCAAGATAACATTTATTACTTTGCAGTAACAGCTCAACAGTAATTATTCAAAATATATTTGAGTGGGGTCTGTCAGATAGTATCATGTAAGGTGGTGTCCTGGGTTCTTGGAATATAGTAGTCACTAGACCAAGAGAATGCGTCACCTCCCAGAATTTCATATACTTTGTTTTGTTTTAAGGTGCTAGGAATTGAAGCTAGGGACTGATTCATACAAAGCGTTTTGCTCTACCACTTGGCTATGCCCCCAGGTCCTCCACTAAACACTGTTAAGGTTCGTTTTATGCAACAATTAAGTAGTCTTGAAGATAATGGGTTAGATAGATTATTAAATTCCCTTTTTGTGTAGCTTTCTTTTTAAATGACATTACCGTGCTGCAAGTATATAGCTCAGTGGTAGAGCACATACTGATCATGAGTGAGGGGAAAAAAAGGTAATTATGGACAGCTAAGAAAGTTATATCCTAAAGAAGCACGAGGGGCATTAAATATTCACCCATATTTAAAGCCCCTGTTCGTGGGCTGGAGGCATCACTTGGCAGAGCAGTTGCTTTCACATACATGAAGCCCTGGGTTCAATTCCTAGTGCTACAAAAAGTGAGAAGCAAATGTAAAAGCCATTTTTTAAGTTTAAAGTAATGAATAATTGTGAAATGCATCTTTCCTAAGTATTTCTGAGTGATTATTAAGTGCTACAGAATTCTGTCTTCCTGTGTGTGATTTTTCTTTTAATCTATATGGTCAAAGTTTTTATTTTGTTTTTGTTTTCTCTTTTTTATCTATTTACCTAATTTTCCTTGTAAGAATTTTAGTTATGGGTATATATAGATACATTTAGAAGAAAATTTAGGCATAGCGCCCATACTAATGGCTTCCATGTTTTGTTTTGTTTGGTATGGGGGATCGAACTCACGACCTTGCGCTTTCAAGGCAGGCACAGTGCCACTGAGCTGAATCCCCAGCCCATGACCTTCATGTTAAATAAGTGTAGTTTTGTTTTTAGTTTTTTTTTCAACCTGAGCTACACCCCCGGGCCAATGAGTGTGTCTAAATACAAGACCAATTAAAGGCTAATATATATAATATATAATATATTATGATTATAATATATTATATATTATATATATGATTGAAATTCTTACCTGTCTGTTGTTAGAATCCATTAGGAAGAAGTAAAATAAAATATACCCAAATCCAATATACTTGATCTGTCTGGTAATGATACCTAAATAAGTTAATTATATCAATATCTTGTCATTTTCCTTAGTTGTTATTCTTACTTAAACAATTACATAGCCCTGACTTGTACTGTGGTTAGAAATGGCTACACAAAAATTTTAAATGAATTCTATATTTTTACTGATACTAATTTAAACATAATTTTCCAGGTAATTAACGATCCTATCCATGGCCATATTGAGCTGCACCCTCTTCTTGTGCGAATCATTGACACACCTCAGTTTCAGCGGCTTCGATATATTAAACAGTTGGGAGGTGGCTACTATGTTTTTCCAGGAGCTTCACACAATCGATTTGAACATAGTCTAGGGTAAGAAGGGAAGGGGAATGTGTAGTTTTTAATTACCCTCTGGAGCCAGGTATGGTGGTGCACACATGTACTCCCAGCACTCAGGAGGCTGAGGCAGGAGGATCACTGTGAGTTCGAGGCCAGCCTGGGTTACATAATGAGTTTAAGACTAGCCTAAACGAATAGTGAAACATTATCTCAAAAAAATCCAGAAAGGGCCAGGGATTTGGCTCAGTGGTTTCACCGCCTGCCTCACAAGCACAGGGGCCTGAGTTCGATCCCCAGTGTCCCCCCAAAAAAACCCATTTCCTTCTCCCAGGTCCTGGTAACCACAGTTGAACTTGCTGTTTGTATGAATTTGACTACCCCTAAGTACCTCCTCATCTTAGTGAAATCATATAACATTTATCTTTTTGTCACTGACTTATTTCACTTAGCATAATGTACTTTTTATTTTTTTTAGCATAATGTTCTTAAGGGTTATGCATATCAAGGCATATGTCAGAATTCCTTTTTTTTTTTAAGTGGGGTCTCAAGCTCCTGGGCTAAATTAATATTCCAACCTCAGCTCTATGCTACTTCACCCATTTGCAAGCTGGAGGTGTAGCTCAGTGGCAGAGCACTTGCTTTCACATATACAAGGCCATGGATTTAGTTCCCCAGTGCCAAAAAAAAAAAAAAAAATGATAAGCAAATAAAAAGGCCAGTGTTTAAGCTTGAAGTAATGAATAATTGTGAAATTTACCTTTTCTAAGTATTTCTAAGTGACTAGAAAGTGCTATAGAGTTTTGTCTTCTTGTGTGTGATTTTTATCTGTATGGTAGAGGGGTTTTATTTTGTTCATCCCAGATTGGGTTTTGTTTTGTTTTGTTTTGATTGAGCCAGCGTCTCACTATGTAGTCCAGGCTGGCCTCAAATTCATGGCGATCCTCCTGCCTCAGGCTCTCGAGTGCTGGTATTACAGGCGTGCACCACCATGCCCAGCTTTTGATCTTTTTAAAGCTGAATAATACTCCATTGTACAAATATGTTTATTCCGCATTTAGTTTATCCACTTATTTGTTGATGGGCACTTAGGTTGTTTTCATCTCCCAGCTGTTGTGGATATAGTGCTGTTATGAACATAAGTGTACAGATATTTCAAGATCCCACTCAGTTCTTTCGGGTATGTACCCAATAGCAAAACTGCTACTGAGTCTTTCTTTTTTTTTGGTACCGGGGATCGAACTCAGGACCTTGCACTTGGGAGGCAGGCGGCAGAACCACTGAGCTAAATCCCCAGCCCTAAAAACAATATTTGATGAACCCCCATACTGTTTCCACAGCAACTGTACCATCCTATTCCTATAAGCAGTGCACAGTGGTTCCAGTTTCTCCGCATCCTGGCCAACATATGAGTTATTTTCTGTTTTTGTGATAGTGGCCAACTTAACGAGAGTAGGGAGATGTCTCCTTGTAGCTTTCTTTTGCATTTCCATAATGACTGGTGATTTTGTGGCAGAGGTCCTGCTTTTGGGATTCTGTTTCTAGAATAAAGGATTTTGTAAGTTTCCCTAAGATATACTAGAATGTTTGCAAAATATATTGAAGTTCTTGAGTTCCAGAAAAATGCCAAATAGAAGAATGACTTTGTTCCTTTTCCCCTCCCTCTCCGCTCCTTCCCTCTGTGTCTCTCTCTCCCTGTCCTCCTCCCCCACCTTCCCTCCTTCCAGGGTAGGGTATCTAGCAGGATGTCTAGCTCGTGAACTGTGTGAAAAACAACCAGAACTGCAGATAAGTGAGCGAGATGTGCTCTGTGTTCAGATTGCCGGGCTTTGTCATGACCTTGGTAAGCTGTATAAAGAATCGCCAGGGATTAACTCAGTGGTTCCGGCGCCTGCCTAGCAAGTGCAAGGACCCGAGTTTTATCCCTGGTACCAGAAGAAAAGAAAAGAATCATACTGGTTATTTAAAATCTTAAATATCAGACTAACCATGGGCTAGGAATTTAGCTCAGGCCCAGATCGGCCTGAAACTTGTAATCCTCTTGCCTCTACCTCAGGTGCCACCACCTGCCTGGCAAGTGCTAGGTCCTGAGTTGGATCCCTGGTACAAAAAAAAAAAAAAAGTCAGACTAACCAAGAGAAATATGGAATTCGTACTTTAAATTTTTCAGTTGACATTAATATATGTAGTGCTTCTTCCTAGAATGATTCATAAACACAAAACATTGTCGTTTCATTCTTGTATAGTCTTTCAGTGAATTCCCCGTGTTAAACATCTTTGCTACAGGTATTTGCAAGCCTTTCTGGGAAGGTATGGTGGGGCATGCCTGTAATCCCAGCTCTCTGGGAGGCTGAGGTAGGAGGATCTCAAGTTCAAGTCTTGGCAAGCAATTTATCGATGTCCTATCTCAAAATAAAAAGAACTAGGCATGTAGCTCAAGTCTGGAGACTCCAGGTTCAATCCTCAGTGCTGGGGGAAAATAGGCTATTTGGTAATGAGTTTTTCTTACTACTGTGTTTAGGATGATATGGATTTAATTTTTGTTTTATCTTTCTAGTGATTAAAATTACCATTATTTCTGTAGTTATTTTGTCAAATCCATTCTTCTCATACCTAGAGACCTTCTTTTCTTCCCTAATCTGTATGAGGTCAGGGTTCACTAAAATCTATGAATATCCTCCTTTTTCTTTGACCAAGAGAGAGGAAAGGGACCGTCCCTAACCTCTTCAAGCACAGGGGAGATTGTGTATGCCTGTGTTTCAATATTAGCCAGATATGTTAAGGGGGCAGAGCCCTCTTTTTATGTCCCCAGAGATTTCATTAGGACCAGTACCACTGCATAGAAGATTGAGGTATGTATGTATGTATTTTTGAAGTTAGGGTCGAGCCCAGGGCCTCGCACGTGTAAAGCACCGTTCTACCACTTGAGCTACACGCGTGGGCCTAAATTATTTTTTTTCCATTGTGGTTCATGGGCTGAACCTAGGGAATACTAGTTACAGCCCTTTTTAATTTTCTTTTTCTTTCTTTTTTTTTTTTTTAATTTTGAGTAAGGGTCTTGTTAAGTTGCCCAGATCGGCCTGAAACTTGTAATCCTCTTGCCTCTACCTCGAATAACTAGGATCAGAGGTGTGTTTCATCACACCTGACACAGATTTTGGTGTTTTGTTTTATTTTGCTTGGCATTTCTGGTGTGTCTACCCAGACCTTGTGCACGCTAGGCAAGCACTATGCTACTGCACTACATGCCCAGCCCTTGGCGTTGATTTTATTATGAAAAACAACAGCAAAAACTCTTAATCTTCCTTCTAGTTAACATAACTGCCCTTTCATCTTACTCTGTTTTAGCAAACAGGAAGGTAAAAATTTGTCTCATTTTGTGATACATCAGTTATTAGTTTCTGTTGATATTTAAATGAAACTAAAAAGATTTCCTAAATAATTGAGTTTTAACAATTTACGTAATTTTTCTTATTTAAAGGCTGCTTTTGTTTTTAAGGTCATGGGCCATTTTCTCATATGTTCGATGGAAGATTTATCCCACTTGCTCGACCAGAGGTGAAATGGACGGTATGTGTTTGTACATTCAATAGTCAATAAAAAGGAAGACCATTTAAATTATCTGTTTGGCCCCTGGCTGTGCAACAGTCTGCTGCCCCATTATACATTTCAGAATGCTTTCACTCATGTGTATGTATGTTTTCTGTTGATCCTCACAATAGTCAATAAAGAAAGAATCATTATATCACTTTATAGAGAAAAGGAATTTGAAACTTTCAGAAGCATATTGATGTGTCGAAAATCACAAAGACATTAAGTGGTAGAACCAATAATCGAAGTCAGGACTTCTAGTTGTCAACTTAATGTTTTGTTTTTTTTGTGTTTGTTTTTGGTTTTGGTACTGGGGATTGGACTCAGGACCTTGCGCCTGCAAGGCAGGCACAGGTACCACTGAACCAAATCCCCGGCCCAAGTTAATGTTTTTTATATTCTAGTTCACAACTGTTAAAAAAAAAAAAATGTTTCCATTTGTTTGCCATGACCATGGAAATAACTCATACCAGACCATCAAATGAGCCATTTTATAATTAGGCATTTGCAGGTGGCTGACCTATTTTTGGAATCAGTTTTTGAGGTTATGCCTACCACCACCCCCAAGTTTCTACCATACTGAATGGAACCTGGAGTAGAGTAGAAAAGGCTATTAATGCACATTAAAAACTTCTAACATGTCAACCACTATTTTTTCTCTTTCTTTTTTCTGTTTATCCTTAAAGTATAATTCACATATGACAAATTGTAAAGTTCTTAAGTGAGTTTTGGTAAGTGTGTACATCCAGTCAGGATGTAGAATATTTTCATCATTTTGGAAAATTCACTTCTGCATCTTACCGGTTCTCTGAGAGCCAGGTTTGCCAGGAATGGCACCCAAGGCCTGGTACGTGGTCAGGACATATGGTGGTACTGAGCTGCATCTGCAGCCTTTCCTTTATTCCCCTTTTAACCAGTTCTTTCTTCTCTCCCTACCAGCACCACTTTCTGAATTTTTCATGAACATATCTTAGTTTTGTCTGTTCTCAGATTCGATATAAGTAGAATCGATAGTAGTTATACTTTTGTGTCTTATTTATTCGACATAATATTTTGGGGGATTTTTTTGGTACCTAGGATTGAACTCGGGACCTTGTGCTCACAGGGCAGGCAGCAGCGCCACTAAACTAAATCTCCAGCCCTTAGCATAATATTTTTAAGATTTATTTATATTGAATCTATCAGAAATGGATCTCTTTATTGCTGAAGGTAGTACTCCAGTATGTGAAAAATGTCACAATTTTTTTATCCTTCCTCCTTTTGATTGAATTTGGGTTGTTCACAGGTTTGGGCTATTCCATATAAGGTTACAGTGAACATTATTGTGCAAACATTTGTAGAAGTATATTTTCATTTCTCTTAGGTAAATACCTAGGAATAGAATTAATGGGTCAAATGGTAGATGCATATTTAACCTTATAAGAAATTACCAGTGTTTTCAATGTAGTTATGCTATTTTACAGTCCCACCAGCAATGTGTAAAGTTCGAATTGTCCTATAGCCTCGCCAGTATTTCATCTTTTTAATTTTATTTTGTCTTTTGCAGAGTTGCATATCGAGCCCAGGGCCTTATACATAGTAGGCAAGCGCTCTACAGCTGAGATACACACTAACCCCAGCATTTCAGATCTTTTAGATTAGCACTTCTGAGTGTCAAATGGTATCTCAGGGTTTAATTTGCATTCTCTAATGTATGTTGAATACCATTTTCTGTTATTTGTACTTTATACTATTACTTAGGGTTAGGGTTACATCTTTTTGGTGAAGATTTTTTTTTTTTGGTACCGGGTATCAAACTCCGGTCCTTGCGCTTTCAAGGCAGGCACCGGAACCACTAAGCTAAATCCCTGGCCCTGGATTCAATTTTTTAACATTTGACTTTTATATAACTTCACTCAGAAAAGTTGAATTTTCACTGAAAAAAAGCCTTCAATCTAGATTTACCAAATGTTAATGTTTTGCTGTGTTTTCTTTTAAACATGCTTTATTTTTATAAGTTGTATATAATTTTTTTCTGAACCATTTGAAAATAAATGTACACATCCTTTTTTTTTTTTTTTTTTTTTTTTTGAGACAGGGTCCTGCTGTTGCCCGGGCTGCCTTGTATTTCTGGGTTCACAGTGATCCTCCTGTCTCAGCCTCCTGATAGCTGGAACTTCAAGCATGCACCACCACACCCAGCTATATTTAAAAATATTTTCAAAAAATATTAACATTTTTATTCTTAAGTATTTTCACTAGACATTTCCTAAAAACAAGAATAGTATAGTCCCTGCACAATTATCAAAATCAGGAAATTAGTATTGATACATCACTATTATCCAATTTATGGACTTAATTTCTAATTTCACCAACTGACCATGTTAGAAAAGTGGGAAAAACTTTATTTTCCTAGTGTAGGGTTCAGTGTATATTATTTATATTTTATTCACATCTGTCTTTTCTTTTGATCTGGGAAAATTCTTCAGTTTTTAATCTTTCATGACCTTGTCATTTTCTTAAGATTAGGAGAGCTATTTTGTGGAATGACCCTCGATTTGAGTTTTAGTTGATCGAATATTACCATAGCCAGGTTTGGTATTTCTTGCACAATGTCATAAAGTGATGTCTCCTTAATGTAGCACATGGACGGGCATGTAAAACCCATTTGAGCCATTACTTGTGATAGTAATTTTGATCACTTGGTTAGGAAATGTCTTCCAAATTTCTGTAATGTTACATTTAAATCTTTGTGAATAGATTAATTTATATCTTGATTCAATTTTTAAAAGATAGTTATAGCCGGGCGTGGTGGCTCACACCTGTAATCCCAGCACTCGGGAGGCTGAGGCAGGAGAATCACTGTGAGTTCAAGACCAGCCTGGGCTTCATAGTGAGTTCCAGGGCAGTCTCAACTACACAGTGAGACCCTGTCTCAAAAAAAAAAAAAATCATTATAGGACCACTTAGGTTTTGCTTTTCATCTTTAGTTTGTTTTGGAAAGACCTGTAATAGGACTGGTGTTTCCCGGAGGTCATTTGATGTTTACAGTGATTGTGGATTAGTAAACAAAGAAATGAGCCAGTTGGGGCTGATTTGAGACTTCAGTCTAGTTATTTTTTGTTGTTTGTTTGGTTTTTCGTTTTGGTTTTGGTTTTTGAGGCTGGGTCTTGCTGCATAGTCCAGACTGGCCTTGAACTTGCTAGGTAGATATGTGCCACCGTGCCTGGCTCTCAACCCAGAGATCTTGATTTCAGTCTAATTTTACTGACAAGGTCGAATTTACCTCTATTTGCCACTAGGTGGAAGCACTAACAGCTTTTGGCTTCACATGTTCCAACACTGATGAAAAAATACAACTAAATTCTTACAGTGATCGATTCATTAAAATGGGATTCTGGCGGCCCAGGATTTAGCTCTGGGGTGCTGCCACCTGCCTTGCAAGCACAAGGACACGAGTTCAATTCCCGGCACCATAAAAAAAATGGGATTCTGCCTCTATGGCCTGGTAATATTCTTCTAGGTAACATAAATGATTATGTCTCATAAAATGTATTTATTATATTTCTGATATAATGAGCATGACTTATAGAAGTTTTGTAGACAAAATATTGACAAATTCAGCAAATTTTCAAAATTGCAAAACGGGGGCCAGGGATTTAGCTCAGTGGTTCTGCCACCTGCCTCACAAGCACAAGGTCCCGAGTTCGATCCCTGATACAAAAAACAAAAATTGCAAAACTGGGGCCAGGGATTTATCTCAGTGGTTCACCGCCTACCTCACAAGCACAAGGTCCTGAGTTCGATCCCTGGCACAAAAAAATTAAAATTGCAAAACTGGGGCCAGGGATTTAGCTCAATGGTTCCACTGCCTGTCTTACGAGTACAAGGTCCTGAGTTTGAGCCCCTTTACCCCCCAAAAAAAAAAACAAAAAACAAAAACGCAAAACAGCAGTTAGCAACTAGGTAATTAATGTGCAGTAGAACATGCAGTAATTGTATCAGCGTTACCTAGAACAACAATCATTTGTTTAGTTGGAGGTCCTGATAGAGTCTCTAACAGTCCATAATATCCTGATTTTTCCAGCATGAACAGGGGTCAGTTCAGATGTTTGAGTATTTAGTTAATTCTAATGGACTCAGAGCTATCATGGAACACTATGGTCTAATCCCTGAGGAAGATATTTGTTTTATCAAGGAACAAATTGCAGGACCACTTGAGTCACCAGTCAAAGATTTTTCGGTAAGTCTGTACTGTATTCAATTCATTTGAACTGACAGGTGCTCTTCTCTAGTATGTTTCCTCCAATTATTTCACAGGTGCACACTTGGCTATTTTAAAGGGGCCACTGAGAAAATGTAAGTTGTATATTCTACCCTCTAATCCAAAATATGAAAGGTTTGTTTTTTGTGTCTTTTAACTTAGTTCTTTAGAAGTTACTCTTAGGGGCCCGGGATTTAGCTCAGTAGATTGCACCTGCCTTGCCAGTGCAAGGTCCTGAGTTTGATCCCGGTATGTGTGTCGGGGGGTACTCTTAAATTTAAAATATTTACAAATCTTTTTAAATGAATATATATACAATATTTTAGTTAGAACCCTTAAATAAGTTAGTTTGCAAATGTAAAAGTGTACCTTGTTTATCCATTATAGTTAACCTATTTGAAATATTGAGATATATGGAGACCTAAAGAGTTCAGCTAGTTCAGAGGAAACTCTTTTGTACTTTTTATATTTTTATTTTGGTACTGGGGATCAAACTCTGGACCTTATGCTTGTGAGGCAGGCGGTGGCACTACTGAGCTAAATCCCCGGCCCTGTATTTTTAATTTTAAAATAAGTTGGAGAGCTGGGGATTTAGCTCAGTGGTGCCACCGCTTGCCTTGCAAGCACAAGGAACTGAATTAGATCCCCTGTACCAAAAAAAAAAAAAAAGTTGGAAAATAATTTTCCCTTGAGATTTTAAGGGTTTTTTCCCTTAAGTGATGCAAATCTACTTATAAAACGTAAGATTAAAAGGTGGATTGGGCCGGGGATTTAGCTCAGAGGTTCTGGCTCCTGCCTTGCAAGAGCAAGGGCGTGAGTTTGATCCCTCGTATCAAAAAAAAAAAAAGGTAGATTGTGCAGCAAATATTTGATTTGATTTCCAAAAAAGTAGAGATCCAAAACTGCTTTGAAAAGTATGTATGTTGTTTAGACTAGGTATGTACCTAGATGTAAAGCTACTGAATGTATATTATTTATCTTAATGCATAAATTTAAGCATTATTTCAGAAACATTCTTACTAGTTCATAATTAAATCATATATTCAAAAAGATTTAAGTCAAGAAAACAGTGGGCCGCGGATTTAGCTCAGTGGTTCTGCCATGTCTCGTAAGCGCAAGGACCCAAGTTGGATCCCCAGTACCAAAAGAAAAGAAAATAAAACAAAATAAAAAAGTTCTCATTTGTAGGAAATGTAATAATATATCGGGATCCTTTGAATGGCACTTGAAGTTTTGTATGTGTATGTGTGTGCTCTACCCCTGAGCTACATCCCCAGCTTGAAGAGTTAGTATTACTAGGATGTATACCTTAGCATTTCATTTCTTTTCCCTTTCAATTTTTTTTTTCTTTTTCTTTTTCTTTTTTTTTTGGTACCGGGTATCAAACTTGGGACCTTACACTTGAGAGGCAGGCAGCAAAACCACTGAGTTAAATCCCCAGCCCCGCGACTTTCTACTTTTATAAGAATGAAGTGGAGGGCCAAGGGATTTAGCTCAGAGGTTCCGCCGCCTGCCTTGCAAGCGTTCGATCCCCTAGACCCTTCTGATTTATCTCATTCCCAGTTTATAATTTGCAGATGAACACAACTGTTTTGCTTATAAGTAGATTTGTATCCTATCCTAAAATGTTGCCTGGGATTTCTTATCTTCTAGTGGCCATATAAAGGACGTCCCAAAGAGAAAAGCTTCCTTTATGAGATAGTGGCTAATAAAAGAAATGGCATTGATGTAGACAAATGGGATTATTTTGCCAGGTATGCACTGAACACTTCAGAAAAGTTGTGTGAAATCTTTATATGAATTCAATGTTAGTATTTAAAGTACACCTTTTGCGTTGAAAAATTTCATCTTCTTCTTTGGACTCCTTATAGGGACTGCCATCATCTTGGAATACAAAATAATTTTGATTACAAGCGCTTTCTTAAATTTGCCCGCGTCTGTGAGGTGGATAATAAAAAACATATTTGCACTAGAGAAAAGGTGAGCTATATCAAAGGAGACAACAAGAGCAGTGTATGTAATTCCTTGTTTGAAGTCTGGAAATAACTTTCAGCTATTTGGAAAAGCTGGTAAATGATCAGTCTTTTTCATTAAATATTTCTAAGTATCTTAAGGCTCTTTTCACTGCTACTGAATTGTTAAATAGCAATAATGTTAAATTCAACGTTTATTTAACACTGGGCACTGTTTTATTGTTGTTACTGTTTTTGTGTTACTGGGACTTGAAACCAAGAGCTCCTGCTCATTTGCTAGGCAAGCCCTGTACCACTGAACTACATCAACAGCCCTGGGCAGTGTTTTATGTGCTTTGAATGGATCAACAGTCCTTATAACTCTGTGAAATACTATTATTAGCCCATTTGTCTTAGTCTGTTTTTTGTTACTATCACAAAATACCTGGGGCTTGATACTTTATAAAGAAAAGAGGTTCATTTAGTTCAATTATGGAGGCCCAAGAGCATGGGACTGGCTTCTGATAAGGGTCACTTACTGTTCAGTGTATGGGGGAAAATCAGAAGGACAAACAAACACATCCTAAAGAGAGCAAGGGGACATACCAGGCTCCATTTATAAAAAAACTTCTCTTGAAGAACTACATTACTACATTAATCCCTTCATGAGAGTGCTGCTCCCAAATCCCAATTACCTCACTGAACTCAGGACTTGTGAGGCAGGCAGTGGCACCATGGAGCTAAATTCCTGGCCCTAACCTAATTACTTCTTAAAGATGCCATTAGTTTTCAGCACTGTTACTTTGGAGACCTACTTTTGACATGAATTTTGCTGGGAACAAACCATATTTAAACCATAGCACCATTTAACAGGAGAGCAAATTGAGCCATATGAAGGAATAGAGTTAATAAATGACAGAGCTAGAATTTCAACCCCACTAGGTCCCTGCTAGATGACAGTCTTGTAACTAAAGAATGATATATAGTATCGTACTCTAGTATTGTACTGTCAAGGAGAAGGAACTTTGGGCCGGGGATTTAGCTCAGTGGTTCTGCTGCCTGCCTTGCAAGCCCAAGGTCCCAAGTTTGATCCCTGGTACCAAACAAAACAAAAGAAGAATAAACGAACATAAGAATAACAATACTTATTTTGTAGAGTTAGTGATCGGATTAAAAGATGTATTTAAAATGCCTAAAGCAGAGGCCAGGGATTTAGCTCAGTGGTGTTGCCGCCTGCCTCTAAAGTGCAATGTCCTGAGTTCGATCCCTGTTACCCAAAAAATGCCTAAAACAGAACCTGTGGTAAAATATGTGCTTAGGGTTTAATACCTAGCACAAAGGAAAACTGAAAACAAAAGAAAACAGAAAAACCTAACAGGATCTATTACAAACTTGGAACGTAGTTTGCAATAGATTTTATAAGATCTTACTATGCAGTTCAAACTGGCCTTGAATTTACAATGCAGCCCAGCTGCCTCAGCCTCCTGAGTGCTGGGATTATAGGCGTGTTACCTTTTTACCCAAAGAAAGTCACAGATGGTTGTGGTGGTGCTTGCTTCTAATCCCAGCACTCTGGGAGGCAGGGGCAGGAGGGTCACAAACTCAAGCCCAACCTAGACAATTTAGTGATTTAGAGAGACCCTGTCTCAAAATTTAAAAATTTAAAAGGGCTGGGAATGTAGCTCTGTGTGAAGTCCTTGGGTTCTATCTTAAGAAAGAAAGGACAGGGCCAGGGATTTAGCTCAGTGGTTCTGCCGCCTTTCTTGCAAACTCAAGGACCCAAATTAGATCCCCAGTACCCAAAAAAAAGGACAGGGATGAGAGGGGAAAGGAGGGAGGAAGAAGAGATGTAAATTGATAAATAGTATTACCCACCCCTTTCTTTTAGTTGCCTCAAGAGTTTTCTAGGGGGATTTTTGGTACTGGGATCTGGACTGCAAGGCAGGAGGCAGGACTGCGAGGCAAGAGGTGGAACCACTGAGCTAAATCCCCAGCCCCTCAAGGGTTTTAATAAATAGCCTTGCATGTAGCCTTTTTGTCTGCCGTCATCCCTTTTTTTTGCCTTACATACTGATACTTGTCTCCTAACAAGATGTATGGAGTCTGATCCTAAAGTAATACACATTCATGTTTTTCTACAGGAGGTTGGCAATCTGTATGACATGTTCCATACACGCAACTGTTTACACCGCAGAGCTTATCAGCATAAAGTCGGTAACATCATTGATACTATGTAAGAAATTTTACTGTTATTTCCCCGTAAAATCTACCATGGTGCTTTTACTGCATTATCATACTTGGCTGAAATGGAGATTTCCAGATAAATTCAAGTTGGGTCCAAAGTTAGTAAGTAAAATAGTCTCCTTAAACAAACGGACAAAATCCAGCACAAAGTAAACTTCGTCGGGGGAAGAGGAGGAAAACAGGCAAGTAGAGAGTAGGGCGGATGACTGGAGGAGGAGCCGAGTTGGGCAGGACCCCGAGGAGGGGCCGAAGTGGCTCGGGATTTCTGCACAGGTCGTCACTTACATGGCAGATCCTGGTCGTGGAGGTAGGGGGTTGGGACGTGAACAACTGACATCCTGAGATTAATAACAGTAATTAATCTTGAGGATTAAGAGAAACATCTGTTTTATCCTGTCAAATATTTATCCAAGTTAGTAGCAGATAATAAATCCAGCAGGAATGACGCCTCTTTTTCTCTGGTTCAGTCAGAACCAAAACAAAATAGTACAGTAGAATCTGCTGTATGTGGCTCAAAGACTCCATGAGGAGTTGGGGTTCCCCCGCCGCGTGAGAAATTTTGACCACACTCAAAATTTGACCGGGAGTGCAGTGTGATGAAGTATACCCACCTACGCAGAGGAGGCTGAGGCAGAGAGATCCATAGATCAAGGCCAGGTCCGGGGACTGAGCACATTAGCTCAGTGGTTCCTCCGCCTGCCTTGCCTCGCAAGCGCAAGGTCCCGAGTTTGATCCCCCCGTACCAACCCTCCCCCACAAAAAAAACAAAGTTCAAGGCCAGCCTGAGCAATTTAGTGAGAACCTGTCTCAAAATAAAATTTAAAAAGGGCTGGGGTAGAGCACTTGCCTACAATGTGCAAGTCCCTGGGTTTGATCCCAATACAAAAACAAAGATCAAGTGTGAGTCAGGTTGATTCCATGTCTAAAATAGCTTTAAATGGATTATTATAAACCTTTCATGTTAACATTTATATTTGTGCTGTGATAATAATTGTCTTCATTGGGCTGGGGATTCCACCGCCTGCCTCGCAAGTGCCAGGTCCCGAGTTCCATCCCTGGTACCAAAAAAAAAGGAAAGAAAGAAATTTTCTTCATTTTTATTTTTTATCTTTTATCATGAGGGCTGAGGATTTAGCTCAGTGGTTCTGGTGGCTGCTTCGTTAAGCGCAAAGACCTGAGTTCGATCCCCAGTACCAAAATAATAATAATGATAATAATATCTTTTATCATGGGTAGACTAGTGACTAGTTAGAATAGGTCCTCTAACTAGTATGTTGATAGTTCGGTAAGTTTTTTTTTTTAATTGGGAGTCAGAAAGGTCTGTGTTCAAAGCCTGCCACTGCTTCTTCCTAACTTGCCAGAAGGAAAATTGTATTATTTCTCCATCTGTAAAATTGGAGCTGATTATACCTACCCATTGTTGGAAGAATTAAATGAAACAACCTATCTGAAACCCTCCCCATAGTTGCTGGAGCAAGTAAATGCAGGAGCTCACAGATCATTGTACATTTATTTGGTGAGGAAGAAGCAGTTTTCTTTAGAATATCTTCCCTCAAAGTTTAATTTTCGGGCCAGGGATTTCGCTCAGTGGTTCCGCCACCTGCTTCGCAAGGCCAAGGTCTTGAGTTTGATCCCTAGTACAAAAAAAACAGTTTTATTTTCCCAGAATAGAAAGATCCCCTTTAGTAAGGTGTAAAGCACAAATACTCAGAATTTCTCTAAGCATATTTTCATAAAATGATCTTTAGGATTACAGATGCTTTCCTCAAAGCAGACCCCTACATAGAGATTATAGGTGCTGAAGGGAAAAAATATCACATTTCTACAGCAATCGATGACATGGAAGCCTTCACCAAGCTGACAGGTAAGAACTGAAGGTAATATAATGGTCCATCTCAGACATGATAAAAACTGTCCCTGGATTACTGATAGGTTACTTGCCACACTTTCAAATGTCTTGTCGCTTCCTAAATGATTATACTGCATATTTTAAAAGTTGAGTTTATCTACATGTTATACAAACAAGGTAATCTTGGTGAAGTGATTTAACCTCTCTGAACCTTAGATTCCTTACCTATAAAAAGGAGGTAAATCCTTTTGAGAGTCTACTTAAGTCGCTAAGTTGCCTAAGCTGGGGTCTGTCAAACTTGTGATCTTGCTGCCTCAGCCTCCCAGAGTGCTAGGGTTACAGCCATGTGCCATCATACCTAGTTTTTGTTTTTTTTTGGAACCAGGGATCGAACTCAGGACCTTGTGCTTACAAGGTGGGTGCGGAGCCACCATACCTAGTTTTTAAAATATTATTTGTATTGCAAAGCATACGAGGCTAGGGTTAGCTCTTCTATTTCTTCAGAAACAAAGTCTGCAGGTTAGAGTAGAGTGGTAGCTGATTCTTTAAATTAGGAAAGTATAGATTGAGAATAAAAATGAGTAAGCTGGGCATGATAGCACCTACCTTTAATCCTAGCACTTGGGAGGCTGAGGCAGGAGGGTCACTGTGAGTTTGAGGCCAGCCTGGACTACATAATGAGTTTAAGGGCATCCTAGACCACATAGCAATATCATGTCTCAAAAAACAAAACAAAGAACGAAAAATAGTCTTATATTTTGTTTGTGCCCTTTCCCCACCTAATTTATGTAATGCTTTTTTTCTAATGGTGCTGGGGATCTTAGCTAGGGTCTTGAACATCTCAAGCAAGTACTCTATCACTGAGCTATATCCCTGGCCCTAGTAGTTTATTTTTATCTTACTTTATAGAAACTATCAATCTAAAAGGGCTGAAAAAAAATTTTTTCCTCATTGAGTTTATGGGTACATTTTAGGTATACAATACAATTACATTCATCATTGGGATCAGGCTGAAAATTTTAAAACTTGGTTCTCAGTGCTTGGATTACAGCAGGCACCACCATACCCAGCTTTGTCAGACTTTACTGTTTAATAAATATAATAAAGAAAAACTTGCATTACAAAAACTATACATATTCTTTTTTTTATTTTTTGGAACTGAGTATCGAACTCAGGACCTTGCACTTGCAAAGCAGGTGGTGGGACCACTGAGCTAAATCTCTGGCCCTACATATTCTTTTTTTTTTGGTACCGGGATCAAACTTGGGCCCTTGTGCTTGTGAGGCAGGTGACAGAACCACTGAGCTAAATCCCTGGCCCTGCCTACATATTCTTTTAAAATCCATTTGGCCCTCTGAATTCACATGTTCTGAAACTGTGAATTCAACTAACCATGAATATAAAAAATATTGGGAAAAATGCATCTGTCTTAACCTTTTTTTGTAATTTGTTATTTCTCCCTAAGCAGCACAGCATAACAAATGTTTATATAACATTTATATCCTGTAAGTAATTTAGAGGTTAAAGTATGCAGGAGCATGTGCACACGGGTTATTTTATATAAGGAATGTGAGCACCCTTAGGTTTTGGTGACCACTGGGTCATGGAACCAGTTCTCCACAGGTACCGAGAGATGAGTGCATACGCAGGCAGTTAATACGGAGAACTCGTGTTACCCCTGTAAGTAGGTAGCCACTTTCCAATCATAAATAAGCCAAAGTTGGAAGTGGTGATTCTTCGTAGCAAATGTCTTTGTGCACTCTGAGAACACTGTGTGTCAGTATTTAAGGTTTAGGATATGACAACTAAGTTTGTTTCTTGCTTATTAACATATCTAACTTAAGGTTGGATTGATAACAAAGTTATAGGAGGTAACATGTGTCTACATTTTTTCTCTGTTTCAGTTGTGTCGTAGTAAACCAGTCTCCCAGGATTATGTTGATAGGAACAGCAAAGGAGATTTTAAAGCAACCCGGGGATATTTAAAATTTTTATTCGTAATAAAGGAAATGATGCTGTGTTTTGAAAAGTCATATTCAGTCCTACACTAAAAGCCAGTTCTAACAAATTACTCTGTAAAGTTATAATTGCATTTCAGCTCTTTTTGATGAGAAGACATAGTCTGGATTTCATATGATTGGGTCAGTTGACACACTAACTGTAAAATAGTACCCATTTTAGTGTAGTCCTCCTTATGGAACCCTAAACAGCTCTTGCTCACCATGAAGGTTACACACCACCAAAATGGCTTTTACTGTGTTCACGGACATACTTTGCATGTTATAGGAGTGGTGCCAAACTGCTTCGACAGGTTTCTGGCGTTCACCGTCAGCTGCTGTGCTTGCCTCTGTAGTTTTAGTCGGTAGTCAATAGACAAGCACTGCCCTACAGATTCCACTTAGAATAACACTGTTCTAAACTTGTCTGGTCTCTTTGCATCATTTGCTCCAGGTACAAAAATATCCCAAGTAGGGCTGGGGATTTAGCTCAATGGTTCCAGCGCCTGCCTTGCAAGCACAAGGGCCTGAGATCGATTCCCTGTACCAAAACAAACAAACAAACAAACAAAAAATTCCCAGGTAAGAGATTAGGTCACGTGTTAGTGCTTTTTCTACCTGCTTAGAAGAGGATATGGCCTGTCCGGCTCTCATCATTTGAGACAGAGACAGTATTCTTTCTTGCATATTATTCTGAACAGGCTTTTTTAATCCTTATTACCCTTAACTACCCGACTTCAAATGGATAGGGCCATAAGTCCCTCTATTACCATTACTGCTTTTCCAAAAGTCAGCACAGCATGTATTTGTTTAAAAATCTCAACTTCCTAAGCATTTTTTCTTTTTTTTTTTTAAAAACTTTTTGGAGAGCCGAGCGTGGTGGCACACGCCTATAATCCCAGCACTCGGGAGGCTGAGGCAGGAAGATTGCTGTGAGTTCTCCTGGGCTACACAGTGAGTTCCAGAGCAGTCTGAACTACATAGTGAGACTCTGTCTCAAAAAACCAAGAAAAAAAAACCTTTTTGGAATCTTTTCACATTTTATTTTGAAGTATTGAAAACATTCAGCAATATTGAAATAATTTTGCAGTGAACACCTACCTATACACTCACCACCTACATTGTTGCAGTTACTGAAATTACTTTATCATGTACTTAGCACTTGTGACATACTCCTATCCATCTGTTGATCCATCTCATTTAATGCCTTTCAGAGTAGTATCCTAAGTCCTTCAATATTAAGTTCTATAGTTTTCTATATTTTCTGTTAATTGATTTTTCTTTTATTATAAAATATATGTACAGTTCCTACAAATGTACAAATCTTGTGTACATTTATTAGAGCTTTGACAAGTACAAGACACTCTTTTCTCCTCAAAAAGTGCTTTTCTGCTCCTTTCTAATCAGACATAAGCACTGTTTGCCCGTTTTATGTTTTTATGCCAATGGAGTCATGCTGCGTGAAGTCCTGTGTGTTTAAGAATCATCCAGGTTCTATGCGTCAGTAATTCATTCCTGCCAGTTTGTGTGTTTGTTCTCTGCTTCCTAAAAATTCCTAAATTCCATTACTGAATGGGTTTAGTTTTTTTTTTTTTTTTTTTTTTTTTTTTGGTGCTGGGGCTTGAACCTAGCACTTTACATTGAGCTATACTGTCTTATACCCTCTGCCCTGGATACATCTATTTATTCCTCAATATTCCTAAGCTATGAGTGGAACATAAAGCACAAACACACCAAAATTCTTTAAGTTTGAATCATAGAATTTTTTTTTTTGAGACAGAATCTCACTATGTAGTTAAACTCTGTCCTTAAACTCACTATGTAGCCCAGACTGGCCTTGAACTTGCAGCAATTCTCCTGCCTCAGCCTCCCAAGTGCTAGGATTACAGGTGTGTGCCACCATGCCTGATCTGCATCATAGAATCTTAAATTTATGATTTACGCCATCTACTTCAAACTCAAATGAAGAAACTGAGGCCACTTGGAGGAAAGCACAATATATCCAAATAAACAGCAAAACCAAGTGTTTGGACTCCCCAATTGAACGCTGTCTACACTATTTCAGAGTAGTATTTTGACCATTAAGTTTAATAGACAAGCAGCTTCCTCTGCTTCTGTATAACTCTTCCCTAAAAACTTGTCTAGAATAAATAGCCCTTTCATACATCGCTGCTGGGAATGTAAATGGTAGAGGCTCTAGTGGAAAACAGGCATTTTTCTTGTAAAATTGAACATATACTTATCCTGTGACTCAGTAATTCCTCTTCTATCCAACAGAAATAAAAATGTAAATCCCTAAAAGCCTGCACCAGGTAGAATAGATGAAAGGCATAAGAACGGTATCATAAGGGTCTTTGGGGTCAGAGAAAGGAAGGGTTACATCACTGGGTTCAATAGACTGAGGAAGGTTTCATGGTGTTGTGGCTTTGAGGTAAACTTTGGGATTAGGTAGGCCTCCAAGAATTAAGATTCTGCAATTAAGGAAAACATTCCATCAGTTTAGGCAAGAATAAAGGAAAAGCCTAGATTAGGACTCTAGTCTTGCCGATCCTGGCCCATGACTGTAATGCCAGCCTCTTGGAGGCTGAGGCAGAAGAGTTGCAAGTTCAGCACCAGCTTGGGCATCTTACTGAGAACCTGTCTCAAAATAAAAATGCTTTTACAAAGGGCTGAGAATGTATCTCAGTGTTGGAACATGCACAAGGTCGTGAGTTCAATTCCTAATAGCAGCAACAGTCTCATCTGGCTACGTTAATATAAAATTGTTCTGTTTTTTAAACTGAAGAAATAATGAAAACTGAGGACGGAAAGATTGTAGAAAGCATCATTGAATGTGAGGAATAAAAGGACCACAAATTCAGTAGCGAGGGATATGTACATTTAAGTGGGGTAGATTACATAAGGGAGCTTTCTTTTGTGGGGTGGGCAAGAAAGGGCATTATAATAAAATTCATTTTATAAAATGCAGTGGTTGTTTCAGATAAGAATCATCAGTGAGTCCCAAGCCACTGACTGAATGCTTGTTGGAATAATCATGCAGTCTCTTTAAGTATCCCCCTACCTATGACTTATTCATTGTAAAAGGGAGAAATAGGGACTGGGGGTGTAGCTCAATAGTAGAGTGCTTGCCTCACATGCAAGAGGCCCGAGGTTTAACCTCCAGTGTGAGAGAGAAAAATGTGTATTTATAATAGAGAAATCTGATGATTGTTAACTAACTGGTCAAATATAACATAACCCATCACGGTAATAGAATATATTATAAAACAAGTAGCCAGGCATGTCAGATACTGTACATGGCTCTCATCCCAGCTACTTTGGAGGCTGAAGCAGGATGATCAAAGTTCAAGGCTACTGGGCAAGTCAGTAAGACCCAATCTCAAAATAAAAATAAAAAGAGCTCAGGATGTAGCTAAGTGTTAGAGCATCCCTGGGTTCAATCTCTAGTACCACAAATAAATAAAAATGAAAAAGAGCTGGATATGTAGCCCAGTGTAAGGCCCTGAGTTCCATCCCTATTACTGAAATTACACTCACACACACACACACACACACAGAGGCACAACTACCTGCACTTTTCTACAATATCAATATCTTGAAAGGCAAAGGGAACAATTAGTCTGGTTCTAGATTAAGAGAAATAGAAAGTATGACCACTAATATTATTCATATACTTCAATTCCTCTATCCAGTAACAAAAATCCTTACGCTGAATTACTGAGGCAAGTAAGCAAATTTGAGATAGACTATATCCTAAAGTAAGTTTTGATGGGGAGAGGGGGTTTCACTGTCACTGGCCTCAAACTTGTGATCCTCCTGCCTCAGCCACCTGAGTGCTAAGATTGCATGTGCACACTCTCACGGCAGTTTACATAACATTTTCATGTCAGTGTTAAACGTCTTGATCTCTTTACACAAGAGATAATTCTTGTTCTTGAGAGATTGTTCAAGTATTTAGGGGTTGAGGAAGGTCTCTATGTCTGCTGTTTTCAAATGTTTCACCAAAAATAAGTGCACAGAGAATGTGCATGTGTTGAAAAATGTTAATAATGAATGAATTTAGGCAATGGCTACTGTATTTTGAAACTTCAAAATAAAAAAATTGGAGGGAAACAAAAAAGGAAAAATATTTCTTTTATTGTTACCCTGGAATTAACGTTTGGAATACTTAATACTGCTTAAAGACATTTACAAAATTCCATGTGCTTGTTACTTAGCTTCACCAGTTGAGATACGTAGCGATTTTGCTTCATTCCCCTCATCTGCCCACCCCTGTCAAACAATGAGCTATTTTGAAGCAGATCCTAGACATAATTTTATTGTAAATGCTTAGGGATCGTTGTCTTTTAAAAACAAACTAACAGCAGTCCATGTACTGTGTCTTGTATCCATCTCCCCAACTCGACAGGTATCAGCTCTAGTGCAATCTTGCTACATCTCCATCGTTCCGCGTGCACAACTTACCTTGAAGTAAACCCAAGACGTTGAATGGAACTTTTTTTTTTTTAGACTGACCTGGAACTCACTTTGTAGCCCAGGCTGGTCTCGAACTCACAGCGATCCTCCTGCCTCAGCCTCCCAAGTGCTGGGATTATGAATGGAACATTTTTAAAGAAACTTTTCAGGCCAGGGATTTAGCTCAGTGGTTCCACCACCTGCCTCATAAGCACAAGGTCCTGAGTTTGATCCCCAGTACCAAAGGGGGGAAACAAGTTTTTCAACTTTCCTCTTAAAATAATATTCATGTGACTAAGATTATAATATGTCAGCATTCGTGAAAGGCTTCTAGAAACCACTTCAGGAGTACTACAGCATTTGTATGTTCAAATCTTGTGTTTTCATTTTAATATGACTAAAATTTCACCATATTGGCAGATAACATTTTTCTGGAGATTTTACACTCTACTGATCCCAAATTGGATGCTGCACGAGAAGTTTTAAAAAATGTTGAATACCGCAATCTGTACAAATACGTGGGTGAGACCCAGCCTGGGAGACGCAAGATTAGAAGGGTGAGTTAGCAAGTGTCTTCTCATTGGTGAGAGGTTAGCGCCATCCCTGCTGTCCATTCAGAAGCCATTTGCCCATCCCAATCCAGAACAAGGCAGTAGGTGGGAAACTGAGGCCTGGGTGAGATGAAATACCTTGCTCATGGGAACATAGGCAGCCAGGATTCAAAGCCAGGTCTAAGTCCAAACCTTTCCTCCCTCATTCAGCAAGAAAGAAGGGGCCTCTGATTTTGGCAAGATGTTTGAGCACAGAGAAATAAATATCAGGGGAAAGTCCCTGAAAATAAAGTTCCTACCGACTGAGGAACTGATGGATCTACAGGTGTCTCAAGTGGAGCACAAGGTGCTGACTCCTGTGCAGTAAAACCTGTGTAACTTTTGGCTGCCCAGGAACTTTACCGATAGCCTGCTGTTAGTTGACAGCCTAACTGATAACGTGAAAGTCAGCTAACAGGTATCGGTGTATGTATATATATGTATATATATATATTATATACAGCGGGAGAACTGGGAGAGAGGACTTTTCACCGCAGTACACAGTTTACTAGAGACACACCGCTCACACAGGATGGTGAACACCACAGCAGCAGCAGGAGGTGGCTGGGAGATTGTGACACTACGGTAATACGTGCTGCCGTTAGCTTTACGGGGTTATGATTCAATCCTACATCATTACACTTCTTTATATTTCTCTCAACTTGGAATGGAGCCACACATGGTCTGTATGTATACATTTTGGCAAAATTTCACTTGGTACAACAGAATATTATATATTGTGTGGCAGTAAATAGTATTTTCTAATATCTTTTTAATTTATGCTTTCATAGCATACCTTTTTCTCGATTTTTTTCCATATTGTTAGGCCTCCAATTTCTCCACAAATTTGTTTTTTTTGTTTTGAAATTGTCACATATCTTTAAAATATATATCCACATGTAAGTGGACCTGCATTGTTCAAGTGTCACCTGTACTTAATTCCTTCACAGTGTATCTGGTCACCCAGCTGGCACGTGCTTGTCCTTTTAGTTCTGATATCTGTTTTTGCCTCTGACTTCTTTTTATTTTATTTTATTTTATTTTTTAGTACTGGGGATCAAACTCAGGACCTTGTGCTTGCGAGGCAGGAGGTGGAACCACTGAGCTAAATCCCCAGTCCTATCTCTGGCTTCTTAGAGGTTTTTCTATTTGACAGAAACTCATAGCAAGAGTCCACTGATGTTATTATTACCTCAAAATAGTTTCTTAGGTTATGTTTTACTTCCTCTTGTTTCTCTAGCAGATTAATGCCACTTGTTTCAAAATGTGAAATTTTCTCATGAAGGTTGCTGTGTGTGCTTAAAGGATAGCATAGGTAGGAGCTGTATCTACAAGGGCTATCGCTAACCATTTTTCTTAGTGAAGTGCTGTTTTTAGAGAGGGAATGTATTTGTGACATGAATACTTAATGATGAAAAATTGGGTTCATCTTTTCTAGGAAGAGTATGAACACCTTCCGAAAGAGGTTGCTGACTCTAAACCTATGGATTTGGTCCTGGAGGCTGAAATGAAAGCTGAAGATTTCATAGTGGATGTAAGTATTCAGCCCAAGAATAGACCAAGTAAAGAATTCAAAATAAAGCCTCCCTTTGTGATAAAAGCAGTATATAGTCATCATAAAAACTTGGGTCAATATAGAAAGATAGAAGGAAAAAAGAGAATCAGCTGTGACCTCACAGAAAACTGACATTACTGAGCAGTTTTTAAATTTTCTTTGTACATTTTGCCAGTATTTTTAATATAATTATGGTCATGTGATAATAGAACCTTGAATTTATTGATGTAAAAATTAACAAGACTCTGCCTGAAAATAAAACATTAAAAAAAAAAAAAAAAGACCAGGGTTGTAGTTCACAGAAAGGGAGGGGGTAGAGAGGCGGGAGTAAAATCACAAAAGTGACACATGCCAATTTGTTTGTCTGCATACATACTCAAAGGAAAAATTGTTTTTATTCCTATTTTCTTAGAGGCCACATGTCCTGTAACCTGATAAGAATGCCAGTCAGCTTTCTCATGTTTTATTTTATGTAAATTATTTTCACAGGCTGGGCATGGTAGCACACGCCTGTAATCCCAGCAGTCAGGAGGCTGAGGCAGGAGGATCACTGTGAGTGACACCAGCCTGGACTACATAGTGACTTCCATGGCAGTCTCAAATACGTAGTGAGAGCCTGTCTCAAAAAAACCAAAAACAAACAATTATTTTCAGAGTTCTATGCCTGAAATCTCAGGAGGATGTTTTTCTTGTAATTTTTCCATAATCCTCTCCTTTGTTACTTTCTTGACATATCTGGAGTGGGAGGTGAGCTCCGTGCAACCACTCTTTACCGGGGAGACAGAGTGGCCCCACTGTGTGTCTCCTTGGCTGATGCTGAAGTGCACAGGTCCTCAGATCAAGCTGCAGTTCGCTCTTTCCTTAGAGCAGGGCTGCAAGAGTAGAGGGATCTCGTCGTACATGGCCTTCCTGAGTCTCCAGCAGACTTCACTCCCCAGAGCGTTTCCCTGGCTTTCTCTTGCATGTCTGCCCTTGGCTTTTCTGCTCTACTGGAGGGTCTGGCCTGTCCTCAATGCAGATCAGTCCTAATCCATCCCTCAACTTCCTATCTGGTGTTTCTCTCCAAGTGCAGTCTCCAGGAGGCCAGGGATTTAGCTCAGTGGTTCCGCCTCCTGCCTCGCAAATGCAAAGGCCTGAGTTTGATACCCAGTACCAAAAAAAAACAAAAAAAAGTAAGGAGAGTGCAATCTCAACAGGTGTAACACTTGAGGCGCATGTAGGAAAAGACACACAAACCACTAGCAAACATAAAGAACTTTTACCTTACCAGTACTCTGAGAAAGGCAAGTTAATGCAGCAATAAAAAAAATTTTTTTACATCAGACTTTAAGAACAAAGTGTTATAAAATTCTTTGTTGATGGGGTATGTGAAAAGGAAAGTGTAAATTGGTATAAGAAGCCAAATTAGAAGAATGTTCCAAAATTATAGATGACAAGCCAGACATAGTGACGCACGCCTGTAATCCCAGCACTTGGGAGGCTGAGGCAGGAGGATCACCCCAAGTTTGAGGCCAGCCTAGGCTACATAATAACGTCAAGGCCAGCCTGGAATATATAGTGAGACTCAGAAAACACAAACAAAAATATTTTTTAATGTTATTGAGGCAGGGCATGGTGGCACATACCTGTAATCCCATCACTTGGAAGGCTGAGGCAGGAGGGTCAGTGCAAGTTCGATGGCACCCTGGTCTACATGGTGAGTTCAAAGCCAGCCTAACTGACATAGAGAGATCCTGTCTCAAAAAACATACATACATACATTTTTTTAAAATGTAGAGCCAGGCAGCGTGGCGCATGCCTGTAATCACAGCACTCAGGAGGCTGAGGCAGGAGGATCACTCACTGTGAATTCAAGGCCAGCCTGGGCTACAAAGCAAGACTGTGTCTCAACCCCTCCCCAAAATTGTAATCGATAAAGCAGCTTTACTCTAGGAATTTGTCCCAAGGAAATAATCACTTTTGTGCAGACCACATACTGTTCTCAGTAGACGTTTTAACCTGGCTTAGCGTTCCTCTCCGCTCCAATTCTTGTCCTTATGCTGAGTGGCTTCGTGGAGCCAGTTTTTCAAGGTCTTCGTTTTCATCCTCAGTGACCGTATCCACCTCACCCCAGCCAGGACTCCGGCACAGTGCACCTTGGCACCTTGGACATCATCACCATTGAAACTACTCTCTTTTTAAAAATCACTAATTTAAACATCTTGTTTTTTGTCCTCAAACTTGTCTCCTCTTAATTTGCTTGTTCCTAGCTCATCAGGACCTATTTTCTTCTCACTTTATTTCATTTTATTTATTTATTTATTTTTTTGGTACCAGGGATGGAACTCAGGACCTTGTGCTTGCGAGGCGGTGTCCCTGAACTAAATCCCTGGCCCTTCTCACTTTTTTAAGCCATTAAATTGTTCAGGCTGGGCTCAAGTTTGTGATCCTCCTGCCTCAGCCTTCCGGGGTCTGGGATTAACGTCATGTGCCACCAGGCCTGACTTCCAAAATCTGAAATTTTCTGATTACTAGATTTTGGGACATTTTGAATTTGGAGTCTTTGGATTAGGAATGCTCATAAAATGTGGTAGTCCGTGCAGATGTTCCAAAATCTGAAAAACTCTGAAATTTGAATCCCTTCTGGTTCCAGATATTTCAGATAAGGGATACTCAGCCTCTACCCAGAGAGGGATATAGTACCTCACAAAGGTAGGGGGAGATAATTTACAGTGATTTTGACCCTAAAGGAGAGGCAAGGGATGAAGAGGAGTAGTGTTTGTGATTTTCTTTACATCAAAGACTGTGTAATTCCCTGGAGAAGGGAGGAAAGAGTTGATGGCATCAGGTCTCCCAGAAGTAAGGAGTGCAGCTAGCACTATCCCTGCCTACCCTGTCTAATGTGGGCCCACTGGCCACTGTGGGGTTTTTATTTATTTTTTTTATGATGGGTCTCACTATTCTACCTAGATTGGCCTCAAACTCATGCCAATCCTCCTGCTTCAGCCTCCTGAATATGGGGATTACAAGTGTGTGATCTGTGCTGGTTTTTGCAACTGAGGACCTGATTTTTCCTTATTGTATTCACTTTTAATTCCTTTAAATTTAAAAGGCTTGCCAGCTTTGGAGGGGGTTCACCTGTATCCAAGTTACTCAAGAGGCAAAGGCAGGAGGATCAAATGGGTTACATAGTTCAAGTCCAGCCCACACAACATGGTGAGACCCTGTTTCCAAAAACAAACTAAGGGCCCGGGATTTATCTCAGTCATGCCACCACCTGCCTTGCAAGCACAAGGTCCTGAGTTCGATCTCTGGTACCAGAAAAAACAAGCAAACAAAAACAAAAAGAATTTGCATCTCAGCTTGCATGGTGGTACACGCTTGTGATTCCAGCTACTTGCGAGGCTGAGACAGGAGGATCGCAGGTTTGAAGCCAGCCTGAGCAACTAACTGAGACCCTGCCTCAAAAAGCGGTAGAGTGTTTACCTAGCATCCCCAATACTGTGGGAGAAAAAAATACACAGACCATGTCTGTCCCATAGTAGGTATTGACTTTATACCCTACTTATATTGAACACACAAATACTTTCTCCCCTCACCCCAGATTTCTAAATGAAATTCCTGTGGGTGGTCGTGTGTCAAAGTTATTTTTATTCCACCATGTTGCAACAGTTTACTCGTGATCTTACATAAGCCCCAGAGGGTTCTGTTCCATTTCTACTTTGTGTGTGTGTGTGTGTGTGTGTGAGTGAACTAGGGTACTAGGGATTGAATCCAGGGGTATCTACCACTGGGGGGCGCATCCATAGCTCTTTTTATATTTTAATTTGAAATAGCAACCTACTACGTGGTCCAGACAGGACCGAGTTGTGATCCTCCACTCAGTCACAGTGCTGGGAGTGCAAGCATACACCATTGCTTCCCAGCCCATACCAGTTCTTGTGATGCCCCTACAACCCTGACTTCAGTTCTCATGATTACTTATTGATTACTTCTATTAAGGTTATCAACATGGATTATGGAATGGAAGACAAGAATCCAATTGATCATGTTCACTTCTATTGTAAGAGTGACCCTTGCCAAGCAATCAAGATTACTAGAAATCAGGTAATCACTTAGGTTAAAACAAAATACACTATGGTAGTTCATATTTGACAAGTCTTTATAGTAAATTTGTGTTTGCATTCAGTTAGGTCCTAAAGTCAATATGTACAGGTTTTAAAAGGGCGTATCTTAAAGTATATGTGCAGATTAGACCACCTTAACCAGTCTTTCCTTTTTGGTAAACATCAGTGAAAGTGTAGTATTCAGGGGTTTGGTTATAAATCTGGTGGGAAGTGGCTGCTATATAGTTGAAATCATGGCCAGGGATTTAGCTCAGTGGTGCCTCCGCCTGCCTCATAAGTGCAAAGTCCCGAGTTCTATCCCTAGTCCCCCCAAAAAAAAATTTTTTAAAGAAATCATGTAAGATAAAGTGCTTATTACATGTGTTCTGTGTGGAAGGAGTCTTTCACTGACTGATATAAAATGGGACATTTTGCAATGTGACAATTATCTTCATTTTTTTTCCTTTGGATTATAACTGGGATAAAATAGCAACGCACTGTGTGCTTTTAAGGATCAAAAACGGTACTCAGAAGCCTAGGGAACAGCACACACTTCTCTGATGTGTGAATTCAAAGTGACAGCAGAATCTTTTCTTTTTTAAAAAAAGGTCTCACAGCTTCTGCCGGAGAGATTTGCAGAGCAGCTCATTCGCGTATATTGTAAGAAGAAGGATGAAAAGAGTTTGTTTGCAGCAAAACAGCACTTCGTTCAGTGGTGCGCAGCCAATGACTTCACAAAGCCACAGGTGGGTGTTTTAATCACACTTTGCATGCTTTAATTTTTAATTAAAAAACCAGCAGAGACACGTTCTAATTTAAATTGTAGCCGTGTAGCTCAGTGTTGAGTGCCCCCCACAGCATGCGCAAGGCACTGGGTTCAGTCCTCAGCATCGCAACAAATGATGAATGAGTATAGCCATTTGATGGTGGTTTTGAAAATACTCTTTCCCCTTCTTTCCTTTGAAAATGTACGCATCTGTTAACCAGTAATTTCTTCCTACACTAGTTGGAAGTAGATACTCGATTGATCATTACTGTCCTGATTATAATAATAATAAACATATGAATAGTGCCTTGTAATACTCTCACCGGTTGTTTTATCCCAGTCCCCCTGATGAGCCTGGGAGATGACTGACAGTGTCCCCTTTCTGCCCGTCTCAGCTGAGTAGTTAATTTGTTTAAGGCATCATTCAACTGGTAACAAGTGTTCTCTTGTGCTTTGTTTTGTCATGCTGGGTACCAAACCCAGAATCTCTAGTACACTAGGCAAGTGCTCAACCAGCCTAATAACAAACTTTTAAGCTTTTGGTGGGGGGTACCAAGTGGGGGATCGAACTCAGGTCCTTGTGCTTGCAAGGCAGGCGGTGGCACCACTGAGCTAAATCCCTGACCTGGCTTTTTTTTTTTTTTTGGTACCAGGGATCAAACTCGGGTCCTTGTGCTTGCGAAGCAGCTGCTGGAACCACTGAGCTAAATCCCCCTGGGCTAGCTTTTAAACTTTCTATTTCAAGTTCAGTGTTCCCAAACCTGGCTATTTTGGTGTGAGTAAACCCAGATTCTCTAGAATGAAATTAGAGACAAAGGAGACAATCTGCAATGTCTAATCCTATGGAGAATGTTGTTGAAATTGTCCCTGTTGATGTCCCATAGATGTCTAGCCTAGGGAAAGTGACAATTCAAAATTGGTTGAGAGCTGGGATTTAGCTCAGTGGTTCTGCCGCTTGCCTTGCAAGCACAAGGTCCCACGTTCAATCCTGGTACCAAAAGTGGTTGATTGTCAAGCGTAGTGGCATACGCCTATAATCCCAGCACTCAAGAGGCTGAGGCAGGAGGATCACTGCAAGTTTGAGGCCAGCCTGGGCTACATAGTGAGTTCAAGGCTGAACTACATAGTGAGTCCCTGTCTCAAAAAAAAATACCAGTTGACTGGCTGGATGAATGTAATTGACAAGCGGTAGCTAGAGCACTCTACCTCCAGGACTAGCTGCCTTTCGCCCTGAACATCAGGTGCTAAGGGGAACAAAGCCCAGGGTCCAGTGTGAAAGAGTAGCTCAGTAGGTCAGGGCTGTATCAAGTGCCACGGCATGAAGCAGGTTTGCTCTGAGAGATTCTAGTGCTGTCTAGCTGTGGGGAAGCCGTGTGAAGAGGCAGGAGCTGCTGACCCAGGAGCCGGATTGCACCAGGCTGAGTTACAGGGAGGAGGTAAATACATCTTACAATGAGAGCAGCACAGGCAAAAACATGAAACAAACAAGTCAAGAGTGAAGGGACCACGAGGAGACCTCTCTGAACACAATATAAGATTCTTACTGTCCAGTGGGGAGAACGGACTGTGGTGCAGAGCCTTGGATAATCGCCTAAGGAAGAGGACTTTTTTCTTATTTGCAGTGGGAGGGAATCACTGAGAGAGCAGCCAAGGCCTTCCTTGCTGCTGAATTATTTGCTTGTGTCCTTGTAATTGTGTGTGTTTGTAGCATAAGACCCATGGGAATAGGAAGTCCTGCCCGTCTCAGGTGCTGTAGCAGCGAAGGAAACTAAAACACTGACCGTCCTAGCTGCAGCTGGGTTGGGATCTGAGGAGGCTGGAAGCAGGGAGACAAGAGGCTCTTGAGATGTGGCCATGTGGTAATAACTGCCTTCCATCTAGGCACATTCACTCACTGAGTATTTTTTGCTGGGCTCTGTGTTAGGTACCAGGGATGGGTCGGTATCTGTGACACGCATCGTTTCCTTAATCCCATGGTGTCGCTCTGGTTGGGGATAACAAGCACACAAGAAAGTGACAGTTGCAGTAGCATGGTAAGTGCTTTGGGGTAGGCCAGTACTGAGTCTTAGAGGGACAGGAAGGAGGAAGATCTAGCCAGACCTGGTTGGGAAAATCCTGTCTAAAGGAGGGCTGAGCAGCTTAGACCGAAAGAGTCAGGGAGCAGGCTTAGCTCTGTAACTCGTTCAGGGAGATACTGAGGCAGAGGCAGCATGGGCTGGGGCAGAAGATGAGAGAGGACATGGTGGTGCCTTTTAGGGAGGAGCCTTGAGTGTGAGCTGTCTGAAGTTTTCTACTGAGTTCTGTCGGCCAAGAGCAGGTGGGAGCCACTGAACCAGGGAGAGTAGCATCTTCAAGTTCACGTTTGTAAAACATTCACCGAGTTGAAACCAGAATAGGTGTTCTATACATGTACTAACTCCCCTTGATGAATATACTCATTATGTGCTGTAAATGTATACTAATAAAAATTTAAATTTAAAAAACAGAAGTAAAGGAGGACTGGGGATGTAATGTAATTCAGCAGCTCCTCTCTCTGCCCTGGAAAAATGAGGTGTTTGTGTTCTGTGACGGTGTGTGAAAAGGAGTGCACAGGCCTGAGCAGAGGGGTACTGTTCCAGCTCCCCCATCACCACTCTGGCCCGGAGCTGGGGGTGGAACCCAGGGCCTTCTACCTGCTAGGTAAGTGCTACACCACTGAGCTACATCCCCAGCCAGGCACCTTGAGAGTGTACTCTGGTGGCTCTTTTCATGAAGGCCTTACTAGCTTAGGACTGTGGTGTTTCTTATTTAGCCCGAGCACAGGGCATATGTCACTTGGACTTTCCTGAGAGTAAATCCGTTTAGGAGAGTCTAGCTGCAAACCAAGGGTGTGTGTGCCTGAGACACTCCTAGAGGTGAAGTGACGGAGACTGGCTTTTCTCTATTCCTTGTTTTTCTCTCTCTCTCTGCTAGGATGGTGATATTGTAGCCCCCCTTATAACACCTCGAAAACCAGAGTGGAATTACACTGTAGCTCACCCGCCAGAAGCATCCAGATCCAGGGTCCAGCTGTTTAAGGGTGACTCTGCGGTGCGTAACGATGAGTCCACGTTGCTTGAGGACACCTCGATGTGAATGTCTGCAGTTGGTTGTTTACAAAAAGCCCTCTCGCAACACAAGTTGGGGGATTTAACCATAGAGTTCCATAAACTTAGTAACTGGTGCTTTTTATTTTGTATTTTGAATGTATACACATCCTGAAGGTAAGTAATTCTTAAAAAAAAATTTATTAGGCAAATCTTGTTACACATATTATGAAAAGAATTACTGTGCCTATTTTTAACATTACTAACCTTTCTCCTTTAGTAGTCTTATTTTCTTAGAATAACAACTTTTTAAAATCTAATCTCTTATGACCAGTGATTGTTTTCTTTCTTTTTATTTAGAAATACGGAATTGTCATGAGCAGACATAGTTAAAAAGAAAAATCCTAGCCCCTAAGGAGGTGCCCATCACCCCAAGTTTGAGGTTATTGCTCCTCAGGGGATCAAAGGAAGGACCCTCCCATCATTCTCCCACCCCCATAGGCTACCAGGTTGGGGGAAACAGGAGGAGGTGAGGAGATCTAAGCGCCACCTCTTGGGTGAGAGGACCTGAGAGTTCAGACCTCATTTTTCTGCCTCTGTGGTGCTGAGGGTGGAACCCGGGGCCTCTTGCATGTTGGGCCAGCACTGTACCGCTGAACTGAGCCACATCCCCAGTGCAGACCTTCTCTTAACTAGAGCATAAAGCTCCCTCTTAGGAGACCACAAAGCAGAGGGATCCCTCAGACGAGGCTGCTGTCTCAGTCCGTTGTAGCCCCAGACCCGGCAGTTTTTCTCCCTCTTGAGTCCTCACTGCCCCAGCCGAAGGGCCTCACCTCTGCCCAGCCTACAGTCGACCGTCCACCCTGTGCCCGCTCTCTCAGCCTGCCCAGTGAGTGGCTTGGAATATCACAAGGACTGTCCTCAGGACCACTCACCTGGGCCTGTTTTTGCTGGTTCAGTGCATTTTACAGATTTTAAAGCAGACTGGATTGCACTGCCTTCGTTGAGGCTAAGAGGAGATCAGAACCAGTTTTCCCTTGGTAACTTGATTCTTCCAGCCATGGGATGGGTATCACCCTGGTTAAGCAGGGCAGCTGTACCCGGGAACCTGCCCCATTCCCCACAAGGTATAGAAATTCAAGAATAAGGTCCAGAATTGGAGCCAAAGGGGATGGTGAGCAATTGGTGACCAGAAGATGCTGGAGGTGCAGGGCAGTGGGGACAGAGACTAGGAGCCCCTCATTTCTTACACAGTGTTGTGCCATCGCTTTGCACTGTGTAACTAGACTCTGTCCCGCCCACTCTCAGTGCAGTGTTTGGGTCTGCCCTCCTGTGTTAAGGTGCCCGCTCTTCCTCAGTGCAGAAGCAGGGCGACTGTCTTTCCTAGGAGCGTAGGCAGGACTGTCCTGTCCTCTCTCGCCCCATGCTGTGTGTTTGGGGACGCTCATTAACGCACAAGTGAGGCTCCGGCCTGTGTCTGCCGAGCCAAGCACCTCTAACACATCAAGAGACAACTGTTTAGGTCTCCACTTCATGTGCCCAGACTCAAGTCCAAGAATGTGATACTTTCCTCAGATTGTTTTCTTTCTGCCAACTTGATTTTAAAATCATGCGTGGTTTTACTCTGGAATTTTGTCGTCCTAATACTGTATCATTGTTACCCGAAAAACCTGTATTATTCACTTCTTTTGTTCCTTATAAGACTGCACTTTATGCTGTTTGCAGCTGCTTTAATTACCAGAACCGTATGCCTCTTACAAGTCTAAATTTTTAAGAAACATCATAACACCATGTAAAAATGGAGATTTCAACAGCTTAATCTCTAGAGTTATTGAACATGGTTGTCACTTTACGAACGCAAATAGAACTTCAGCTTGAAGGGGGGACTGGTTACTTAACTGGGTGTGGAAAACAGCTGCAATAAAGTTATGTGACTGTGTGTCCATCCTGAAGCCAGCGGCGTGTCCCTTCACCACTTTGTCCTGCACGGTCGTGTGCCCACCTTGGACTGGGTCTCACGTAGGATTCCACCCACGTGCTTCCTGGTATCTCAACACTGTGCTGAATCTGCCTGGGGTGGGGGGTGTAACACAGTCCCAGGTGGCTGGTTTTCCTTGAACAGCGGGGCAAGTGAAAGCATTTTTCCTTCTGGTAGGTGGCAGCACTGATGTGGGAAGGGATATGCTGTTTCCTTACTTTGCAGGGTCCTGTTTGCCATAAAACATACTCCTTTCTCTCTTTTGACCTGCCTGAAGCAGCCTACGATGGTTCGGTTTCTTTGCCCAAATAGGACATTTGCTGCTTTTGTCTTCCCTGTGAAATTAAGTAATGGATGCAAAAATCCCGCAGCTATTAAAACAGGCAATAGGCAGGAGAAAGAAGGGTGTTACTAGAGTCTTTATTAGTTTCACTGGCTGAGCACAGGTTCCTGAGGTTTGATGGTATTCTTTAAAGTGATTTCTAAAACATACAAAGCAGCATCTCTACCTACAGAAAATGGTTTGGAAGACTGTACACGAAAATGTTACTGTTTGAGAGGAGTTGAATTTTAGACAATTTTAAGTTTTAATGTCCTCTGATTTTCTGCAAATAAACATGTTGCAGTATTTGTAGAATTCCTCTAAGATCATTTTCAGGAGGGACTCTGTGTCTTGGGGAAGGTGTAAGTGTCTTCGACACCTCCAGAGTCCCTTCTGCAGGACCCTGCCCCATCACGTCCGTCCCCAGGCGGTGAGGAGCTTGCAGTCAGCTGCAGTCACCGTCGGCTCCAAGTAGGAAGGGCTATCACCCACAAGCAGGTCCGCGTTCCTGCCGCCCGGGGTGCTGCCACGTGGGGCCTCAGCTCAGAACCCAGGCCTCCAGTTCCCTGATGTAGAACTGCTCCTGCCGGGCCAGTACCTCATTGTTGAAGGTCGCACAGGGTTTGCTTGTCCCGTGATACAAATCTCCATCCAGCCACAGCCCAAAATGGCCACTAGAGAGAGGACATTGGGCCTGGCTCACTCCTATGTGTCAGGCCTTTAGAACGCACTACCACCAGCAGCCCGTGGCTATACAATGTCATCTTCCCTTAAACGGATTTACCCCAACTTTTGGAGGACTTGGCATTTTGTTCCCTACAGGGTAGAACATTTTTAAAGCAATGCCGTGATTTTAGCAAATACATGTAATGGCACGCCATCCCAGCCCAGTTTGGGGACATTTGGAACATTCTAATCCCCCTGCCTTTGACAGAAAACCTGAGCGGGAGCCAGGAAGTGAATTACTGCAAATCAGCACTGACTGATGCATTCTTGCCAAGCTGACTCTCAGGCAAGGCTTTTCAGGCAGTGAGGAAAGCAGAAAATTTGCCTGGTACTAATCAGTGCTTTCATCTTCACCCTCCAGGTAAAACTTGTGCCTGAATTTGAAGAGACAAAGCTTTCTTCTTCTTGGGAGGAGACATGTGAGACCAGGCTTTTTAACCTCATGCTCTCTGCCTCTCTCGTCCTTTCACAGGCTCATACATGCGCGTGGGCCAGGTTCTTGGGCAGGTGCAACTTGCTTCCCTTCCTCTAATGGTTTATGTCCCCTAGGATCACTGGGCTGACTGGTAAATGTTTCATCTAGCCTCATCCAACCAAAATTACAGAAATCCAGACTAAGCTGTCACCAGCTGTACGCAGCTTGATGTGAGGTTCACGTGTCCTTTCTCCTTGCTCGGTGGTATTGAAGGACTGGACCGAAAGTGAACCACCAGCCTCTCCTGTCCATCCGGGCCGGCCAAGCCCCACAGTACCTTCCAGGAGGGGGAAAGGGACACGTACCTGCCACTGCCCATCATAAGTGAATCCCAGTCCCCTTTCACAAAGAAGGAGTTGCTTCCGGTCCACTTGAAGACCTGGGTGAAAGGGAAAGGCTGAGTTACTCGTCTTGCCCTTGCAGTCCGACCCTAGGCCACTGGGTGGCAGTGTCGTGGAGGGAACAGGCCTCCAAGGATGGCCTGTGGCAGGAAGTGCGCTCAGCTCCAAACTCTTCAGACCCCAGACTGCTGGCGCCCTCAAGTTTGCATTCCCACGGTCTGTATGCGAAATGCCTTTGATCTAGGTACAGCACCAACCTCTGAAGCTTCCTCCCTCCCACTGGAGAAACAAGGAGAAAAGTCTAGGCCAGGAGTTGGGACTGGTGCTGCCATTAGCCACCTCCTTCTGTCTCCAGAGGTCACACCAGGCTGGCCTGCACTCTGTTGTTGCCACACAGCCAGGTCACCCTATGACCTGCCCATACTACTTACCCTTGCCCACGTTCACTCTTGCTAGAATCACAGCCTCCCCCTGGTCTCAGTCCCCCGCTCTCCTGCCTGAAACTATCCCACTTCCCATGGTGATGGGGCAAGTTCTGACTCCTTCCCCCCGGCCCAGAGCACTCCCACCTCGCTTGGTTTTGCTCTGGTCCTCCTCCCCACACTGACTGCACTTGAGCCACACTGGCCTTTGTGTCCCTGGACACCTGATCCCTCTGCCCAGACCGCTGTCCGTCAGGGTCCTCCAGGGCCCACGTCTTATCTTTCAGCCCAGGCGTCATCAGAGGGACTCCTGGACCTCCTTATCTAGCATCCTTCTTCCTCCTGGCCCTGGCGCCTTTTTCTCACTTCCGCTTGAGATGACTCTGCCCTTATTCCTGCTCTGATTCCCTGTATTCCTGCCTACCTTGTGCTATCGATAGTTGTTGAATAAATAAATAAAAGGTTCTAGAGGCAGGGCCAGAGGATTTTCAAAGGGCTACAGAAGTATAATGTATTATTGCCTGTAGATGGTTGTCAAAAATACTACAAGCAGTGAAAATTTTTCTTAAGAAAATAGACCAACTAAAAGGTAATTCCTGGCTAGGCATGGCTTTGACATCTGTAATCTTAGTTACTTAGGAGGCTGAGGCAGGAGGAGTACAAGCTTAAGCCCAGCCTAGGGCTCAAAATCAAAGAAGGGGCTGGGGATGTGGCTCCTTGAGAGCACTAGCCTGGCATGTGTGAAACCCTGGGTTCAATCCCTAGTACTGAGGAAGAAAGAAAAGTTCAGTCCTGGGCTCAGAAGGGATAGATAAAATGTAACAAGAAGACAGAAGCATTCAGTGCTTCCTCTACTTTCTTCAAGGACATGACTTTCAGGCTTGAAAGAATAACAAATACTGCTATGGAAGAAATTAAGACAAAGTTCCTGGTGCTGCTTGGGATAGGAATCAAGTGACGAACTTCTGGGAATTAGTGAAGAACCCAAGAAGTGCCAACAGACCGAAGACGGGCAAGAATTAACCAGTTTTTGAAAAGGTGGGATTACATAACACTAGGCTTGGAAGATAGTGATCCTCTGGGGGAAAATCATTTATTTCATTCGATAATTGTTTTAGCACTTATGTACAAGGCATAGTTTAGATACTGAGTAGAACCATAGACACAGCAGACAATAATCTCTGTCTTTCTAGCCAGGGATTTAGCTCAGTGGTTCCGCCACCTGCCTTGCAAGTGCAAGATCTCGAGTTCGATCCCCGGTAGCACCAAAAAAATAAAAGATTCACATTCTAGTGAAGAGGCAGATCGGAAGTTAGAGGAGGGTGTGTCATGGTGAAAAAACGCTAAGGCAAGAAATGACAGAAGAGCAGTGAAGGTTTTCAGGTGTGCTAAGTTTAGGTGAGGGAGTGTAGGGTGGTTACTGAAATGGAGACGTGCACAGAATCCTGAAGGAGGTAAGAACCAAGCCATGTGCACATCCAGCGGAAGACCGTTTGGGGCAGACAGCACAGGCAGAGGTCCTGAGGCAGCAGACCAGTGTGGCTGGAGAAGAGTGAGAGCAAGGAAAAAGCAAGAAACAATGCTAGAAAGAGGTCGGAGAGTGTACAGAAGAGAAAATTATGGTACAGATTTCGGCTTTTCTCCAAATGAAGAAAGAAGCCAAGAAGTAACATGTCCCAACTTCCCTTTCAAAGGTACCACTCCAGTTATTCCGATGACTGAAGGTGGAAGCTGGGAGACCTGTTAGGCTGCACAATCACAATGAAGGTTTCAGCCAGGGCGACAGCAAAGGGTACACTTAGGGAAAGGGGTTCTAAATATGGACGGAGCAGAGCTGTCAGTCCACACGTGGACTAAGGGAGAGGTAAGGGGCACTCAGACTTGATCACAGCAGCAGGTAAGATGGAGGCTCATAACCCCTGAGGGGTGGGGAGCGTGAGGAAAGACAGCAGCTCAGTTTGCAGTGCTGTGCTGCAGATCCAGGCGGAGATGCCGGGGAGCAGTTGGGTAGATGTGAGCTTGGAGTTCAGAAAGAGGCCTCAGCATGCGGCTGCAGGGAGAGCCATGATGGGCAATTAGAGAAGAGAATCAAAAACAACTCGTGTTAAAGAGGTGTGGAGGCACACACCTGTACTCTCAGCCCTCCGGGAGGCTGAGGCAGAAGGATCACAAGTTCAAGCCTACCTGAGCAACTTACTGAGACCCTGTCTCAAAACATTCTAAAAAGGGCTGGGGTTATAGTGAGGGACTTGGGTTCAACAGTCCTCAGTACAAAAAAAAAAAAAAAA